CTCTATTCTCCTCCTTGTCCCGCCTATACTTCCTGCCTGGCCACGGGCCAATCAGTGATTTATTCATTGACCAATCAGCAACACATTTGACATACAGACCATCCCACAGCACCTCCCCTTTTCTTTTCTTAAAAAGGAAGGTTTTAACCTTTACACATCTCCAAAGTCAGCTTGGTATATTTGGGAATTTGGGCGTAGCTTCTCTTACTACTTCCTGCTGGAGAGGGGCGCTGTATCTTCTGGGGAAACAAAGAAAATTTTAGGATCATGGAGTAGTCCGTGAGGCTGTATCATCTGAGCCAGTTGCCTTGAAACGGTTCTGGATGTTGGATCATCTGGGCCATGGTGTCATCGGAGACCTTTCAGGGGGTCTTGGCTGGTCAAACCTGATGTATCTTACTCTGGAACAAATCCATAGTCTCTTGCTTTCTGTGGAAACAAAAGAGACTCTTTTCCAAAGCAACATATCCTTACATCCAAATTTTGAAGTCAAAGTATCTTTAAAATATACATACTGGTTTAACTCAGCTTCCTTTACAATCAAATATCTCTCTGTAGTTAAGAATCCCAAAGACAACACAATCCAGACTCTCTGTGTAATAGTCATCTCTACGTGGCTATTTTTTATATTAATTTTACTGTCTCTTTAAAGACTTTATTTTTTAAAACTATGTATTTGTTTTTATACTGTATATATCACCTTTTTTTTTTAAGCCTACGTATATTTTACACACATTGTAAACTATTACATCTGAATCTGTCTTATTGTGAATCTATTGCTTTAAGCTGCAGCAGCTATGGCTGCTGGCTCCGCCCACCGCAGCTTCCCAACATGGCGTGGTACTTTACCACCAGCTCTGGGAGCTATCGTGGGTCTATGCTTTTATCCAAGCAGCGTGTAGCCCAGAAACCTCTTTTTTTTTGTTTTGTACTAGCAAAGGCTAAATCCACAATGTAGCTTAATGTGCCACTTGCAGAGGCCTCATTCCCGCCATACTGCAGGTCGAGCGCGCACGCCAGCAAGGGTGCCAGTAGCTCAAACCGGACACCAGCAACCCGCCAGTAGCTCAAACCGGCAGCTGCCGCTCATTTGAGAGAGACAATTAGGAACTGTTTTTCGCTCCGTTTTAGAATCTTTTTTCTCAGGTTTTAGGTGGAAACTCTTGCCACCACGTTGGACGCCATTTGTTGCTAGAGTTTTCCTGCCTGGCCCACAGTCAGGACAAATCTCTCTCACCCGCCAGTCCCAAGTCGCTCAAACCCGATCAAGTAAACACAGAGACTTATATTGGTTACAAACTGTATGGCCGTGGCAGGCTTCTTGCTAACTGTTCTTACAGCTTAAATTAATCCATCTCCATTAATCTATACCTTGCCACATGGCTCGTGACTTACCGGCATCTTCCCAGGCGGCTTGTCATCATGGCGGCTCACAGTGTGTCTCCCCCTCAGCCTTCTACTTCCCTTCTCTATTCTCCTCCTTGTCCCGCCTATACTTCCTGCCTGGCCACGGGCCAATCAGTGATTTATTTATTGACCAATCAGCAACACATTTGACATACAGACCATCCCACAGCAGCTGTCTGTGCCTACAGTGACCCCACTGCCCATATCCTTGTGGCTGTCTGTCTGTGCCTACAGTGACCCCATTGCCCATATCCTTGTGGCTGGCTGTCTGTGCCTACAGTGACCCCATTGCCCATATCCTTGTGGCTGGCTGGCTGTGCCTACAGTGACCCCACTGCCCATATCCTTGTGGCTGGCTGTCTGTGCCTACAGTGACCCCATTGCCCATATCCTTGTGGCTGGCTGTGTGTGCCTACAGTGACCCCATTGCCCATATCCTTGTGGCTGGCTGTCTGTGCCTACAGTGACCCCATTGCCCATACCCTTGTGGCTGTCTGTGCCCACAGTGGTTTCCCTGTACAAGACAATCTGCTGGACTGGAACTCTGCAAAGTTGTCTTATTTTTTTTTTTTACTATTTATTTGTTTGTTTGAGACAGAATCCTACTTATAGACTTAGCTGGGCTGGAACTCACTCTGTAGACCAGGCTTGTCTGTACCTCACAGAGATCTGCCTGCCTCTGCCTCCTGAGTGCTGGAATCAAGCGTGTACCACCATGCCCTGCATTTTTTTTTTCAGTAAAAATCTGGACAGGCCCACGCTGAGCTCCCTGTATCATTCCACTTTTTAGTGTATGTGCTGCCGAAACGAGCCCTTGCAAGATCTTCTTTTAAGTTACTTTAGTAGAGAATCATTCAACTCGGATAAACTTCCATAGAAATGTTCTCTTTGGACTTTGAGACTGTAAAATATTTTTATTTGTTTAGGAAGGTGAATCTTCTGGAAAGAGGAAAGCCGAAGATGATGATAAAGCCAATAAAAAGCACAAGAAGTATGTGATCAGTGACGAAGAGGAGGAGGATGACTGAAGTACAAACTGTGACTGCATTTTATATATTTATTGTACAGCTTGTCTATAAATATGATGTAAACATGAGTTATTTTCATTGAGATTAATTGATTTGTGTTTGTGAAAATTTAATTGTAATAAAACATTTTAAAGCAAGTTCCTATGCTTAAGAAATCTGCTTTTCCAAGGGGCGGGGGAGCAAGCTGATTTCACAAGCATTTTACAGAGTCCAGGTTTGGGGATTTCTGCTGCTTTTTGTCACCCCATCCTCTCTTCCCACACAAAGTTGCCTCCTGGTATGGCTAGGGCAAGACAGAGCAAGGCGCTCTCCTCCACACAGAGTTCATAGAGGACAAGAAAATCCCCCAGTAATTAGTTTCCTTGGTCTGCCCTAACAGAGGATCACCAAGTTGGTTGGCTTAAAACAGTAAAACCTGGGCTGGAGAGATGGCTCAGTGGTTCGATTTTCAGCACCCACATGGTGGCTCACAACCATCTGTGACCTTTGTCCCAGGGAATCCTGTGCCTTCTTCTGGTCTCCTTGGACACCAGACATGAACGTAATGCACAGACATACATGCTGGCAAAACACCCAAATTCATAAAATTAAAAACAGTGGAAATGTACGCTCAGACTTTTGGAGAATCTGGAGGTCTGAAATCAAGGTGAGTGCAGAGCCGCACTCCCTCCCAAGGCAAGGATCCTGCCTTTCCTTCAATTCTTTGGCTTGTGGTGGTGTGACACCTGCCTGTTGTCAACATGGCTGCTTTCTTGTGCACCTGTTCCGGGTCTTTATACTGCACTCTGTTGGCAAGAACCAGAAACCATGGGACCAATTTAAATCCAGCACATCCTCATTTTAACTGATTATATCTGCAGAAACCTATCCCAAGCAAAGTCATATTTTCAGGTTCTGTGTAGACATGAATTTGTGTATAGGATTACAATTCAACCTTCTTAATTACAGTAAATCATATATTTTCTAAAAATTAATGTAAAATGAGTGATTTTTATTCTGTTTTGTTTTTGAGGTAGGATTTCTCTGTGTAACAGCTCTGGCTGTTCTGGAACTTGCTTTGTAGACCAGGCTGGCCTCGAACTCACAGAGATCCGCCTGCCTCTGCATCCTGAGAATTAAAGGCATGCACTACAACTGCCCGGCTAAAATGAATGAAATGTAAAAAAATTGTTTTGAGATTTTTACTTATGTGTATGTGTGTGGGGGTGTGTGGGGAGGAGGCTATCTGAGGAGGCCAAAAGAGGGCATCAGGTCCCCTGGAACAGGAATTACAGGTAGTTGTGAGATGCCTGATGTGAGTGTTGGGAACTGAATTTGGTTCTCTGCAGGAGCAGCATTCTCCAGCCCCTAATTTTGATCTTTAGCTCCATGATTAGAGTGCATGGTTATCGTTTTTTGTTCTTTAGAGAAAAATCCTGAATCACCATCACACCCCTTTCCTAACTTAAATTTTAAGTTCTTGTGTGTTTTGTGGCTTACATAGTTAAAACTCAGGTACTTGGCTTAAGAGCCCTTATTTGGGGCTTGAGAGCCCTTATTTGGGGCTTGAGAGATGGCTCAGAGGTTAAGAACACTGGCTGTTCTTGCAGAGGCTGGCGTTCAATTCCCAGCACCCACAGGGTGGTTCACAACCATCCATTATGAGATCTGGTACCCTCTTCTGGCCTGCAGGTATCCATGCAGGCAGAACACTGTATACATAATAAATAAGGCTTTTTTTTTTTTTTTTTTGGTTTTTCAAGACAGGGTTTCTCTGTGTAGCTTTGCGCCTTTCCTGGGACTCACTTGGTAGTCCAGGCCGGCCTCGAACTCACAGAGATCCGCCTGGCTCTGCCTCCCGAGTGCTGGGATTAAAGGCGTGCGCCACCACCGCCCGGCTTATAAGGCTTTTTTTTAATGACTTTTAAAACAAGATTTATTTGCCTCCATCCTTCCCAAAGCAGTGTATGCCTGTGTGTGTCCCTTCCTAGGCTGGCAGTTACCAACCTCCTCTAACTCCAAGCCCTGATGCTGCCTTCAGCTTTATCAGCCACCCTGTTGGGGGCGCTATAGGGAGATGAAGGTTCACCAGCCACCCTGTTGGGGGCGCTATAGGGAGATGAAGGTTCACCAGCCACCCTGTTGGGGGCGCTATAGGGAGATGAAGGTTCACCAGCCACCCTGTTGGGGGCGCTATAGGGAGATGAAGGTTCACCAGCCACCCTGTTGGGGGCGCTATAGGGAGACCGGAAGGCTGGATAGCAGAGGAGAGACTTGCTCCTTCCTGTTTGCTCCTGGGCCCTTCAGGGGGCTTCCTGTTGGCTTGGCGTTTCTGTGAGGGGTCCACCAGCCCTTCTCCTCCTCAGCAGAGGCAGTTCCTTTCCACAGCAGCTGAGTCTGGTGGGGAGTGTGACCAGGAGAACCAACCTCAGTGTACCCGAGAGTCACCAGGCCAGTGGACAGCTGCTCTCCTCGGGTAGGAGGGATCTTTTAAAACGTCTGTTCTTACACTCGGGGCCCCTGCCCTGAGGTGTTTTAAGTTGTTTTGTTTGTTTCGCGGGGAGGGTTTTTTTTTTTTTTTTTGGTTTTTCGAGACAGGGTTTCTCTGTGTAGCTTTGCGCCTTTCCTGGAACTCACTTGGTAGCCCAGGCTGGCCTCGAACTCACAGAGATCCGCCTGGCTCTGCCTCCCGAGTGCTGGGATTAAAGGCGTGCGCCACCACCGCCCGGCTTGATACAAAGTCTTATTCTGTAGCCCAGGATGGTTTCTAACTCAGAGTAATCCTGCTGTCTCTGTCTCCTAAATGCTGGGATTACAGGTGTGAGCCACCATACCTGGCTAAATATTTAAAATCTAATAATTCTGCCTCTTCCCTGTGTTTTCTCAGGTCTGGAGTTGAGAGTTGTTCTCTGTATTATTTATTTATTTATTTTAAGTTTCTCCAGACAGGGTTTCTCTGTGTAACCACTGTGGCTGGCTGTTCTGGAACTCACTTTCTAGACCAGGCTGGCCTCAAACTCACAGAAATCCACCTGTCTCTGCCTCCTGAGACCTGGGATTAAAGGCATGCACCACCACTATCCGGCTTTAGTTATCTAATTATATATATAATTATATACAATATATTATAAGATATATATAATTTAACATATATACAATATATATATTTTAATAACCTAGCAAAAAAACTTTAAGCCTAACTTTTTCTTTTTCCTCTGAGACAGGGCTTCTCTGGGTAGCCTCAGCTGTCCTGGAATTCACTCTGTAGATCAGGTGGGCCTCAAATATAGAGATCCACCTGCCTCTGCCTCCAGAGTTCAGGAGTGCTAGGATTAAAGGTGTGCGCCACCGCTGCCTGGCTGCCTAATTGTAACTAGCTGCATTTTGTGGTGTAGTCTTCTTTTACTCAAGGTATTTGTTGTTTGGGTCTTCTCGGTCTTTTAGTAGGGCCACGGAGATGACTCTGGATAAGGATGCTTGCTGCCACACCTGATAACCTGTGAGAACTGACTCCTTCACGTTATCCGCTGACCGCCACACATGTACCCAAATAGATAAATGTGCTAAAAACTTGGTGGTGTATTTAAAATCCAGGCTATGTTTCAGGGCTAGGATCTGGTCTTACTTTATTGGCAAGCTGTCCTGTTAGACTGTTTACTGTTTCAGGATGCTGGTCTTCCTGTGCACAGGTAAGTAGTCAGTGTGAAACAGCTTCTGTCAGTCACGGGCGATAGCACTGCTTTCCAGGGTGGATGAAGGCATGCAGAGGGCCCGCTGGAAAGGCTGCGACTTTGAAAGCATCGTTAGCTGGACAGAGTTTGAAGTCAGGCAGCCTGTTGGCCCCTGCATCTCCGTTATGTCTTCACTGGACAAGTTGATAACCCCTTTAAAGCTGGCCACTGTGGTGCATCCTGTGAGTGTGGAGGACCCAAGCTTCCACTTTCAGTAGCCTGAGACTGTAGGAGGCCCTCTAGGATCCTGGAGAGTAAAGAGAATGGGAAAAAAATACAGGCGAGGGGAGAAAGTGCTGCTTGGGTGACTGTTGAGTATCTTGGCTGTGTGATAAATTTTCCCAGCGCACAATAGCTTAGAACAGCATAGCAGCTTCTCACTCAGATTCTGGGGTTACGGGGGGAGGAACCTCGAGAGGGCTTAGCTCCAAGGTTCTGGTTCAGGTACTCTCACAGGACTGCACTCTCTGATGGCCCGTCTGCAGCTGAAGGATCAGTTTCGGAGCTAGCTCATGCATCTCCTGTTTTTCACCATGGGTAGGCGTCCCCCCTAGGCAGTGGGTATCTTCACATTAAAGTAGCTGCTTCCCTCACAGTGAGTGACACAGCACGGCAGAAAAAAACATGGCATTATCCACAGTCCAACTTCGGAAGTGAGGCAGCAGCTCATTGACCCCACAGCGCAGCTGTGACATGATGGAGAGGCCACACGCAAACCTCATAATCAGTGAAATTACTGGAACCATCTTTTTTGTTTTTGAGACAGGGTCTCATGTAGTCCAGGCTAGCCCTAAATGCTGGGATTACAGGTGAACACCACCATGCCCAGCTCTCTGGGAACTGTCCTCAAAGTGGTTCCCCTGGTGACTTCCCCGCCTTCCTTCTCTGAAGACATTCTAGTGATGCTGCTGAAGGCCAGACTTGGAGAGGCAGCTGGAGATTCGGTTTGTGAATACTGGAAATGTGTTGAGGAACTACCTAGAGGACTTTAGTGAGGGGGCTGCGGGGAGCACTGCTCTGGCAGAGGACTCAGGTTCAGTTCCCAGCACCCATGTTGGGCAGCTCACAACCTTCTGTAACTCTAGCTCCAGGGGCTCTGACTCTCGGCCTCCATGGGCACCTGCACTCATACATATATCCACTCCCCCACACACACCTAATTAAAAACAAACATTTTAAAAATAATTTGAGTTAGACCCAATAATAATGTCTATTCCCTCAACACTGAAGAGTATAGTGGGAACATGGATCTGTTTGGAGATATAAATGACATTTCTTCGGAGAGTGACGTGGACCAGCGAACACCTGTCCCAAGACGGCCTGATGTGAGTACAGTCACCAGACACCACTGATGAGGGGGTTGAAAGCTGAGAGGAAAAGTTCAGAAGAGGTTCATTCGAGCTTTGTCTCTCATGTGGAGGAGGGTGTTCACAGAGGACTAACCATGTGGTGACATTCTTAGCTGAACTGGGCATCTGGGGAAATAATTAGAAGGCACAGGAGGAACCATTAGAATGAGGTCCATGCCAATAGGCACAGGACTGAGAGATGAGAACCTTTGGTTTAAAAGGTCTTTCTTATCCACACCTGTGCTGTGCTGTATGGGCAATGTTGATCATCTTTTCTGATTTTAGTAGTTCCTTAGCAGTGAAGGGTTGAATTCCTTATACCCCTTGAATGCCATGCAAAACAGAAAAATAGCTATGCCAACGAAATTCATCTTTCTAGTAATGCAGGATAATGTCTCTATTCCCCATGGCATTTTTTTTCTTTGTGGGTGTGGTTGGGGTAAGGTTTGGGGGACAGACTTGGATGAAGGAATGGCTGACTACCCCTGAAGTAGTGTCTGACGTAACTTCCTTTCAAACCTGTGTCTGCCAAATGCAGAGCACAGCCAGAACGTTTCTCCTGTCTCTTCACGTTCTCCCATTCTGATCCCTCCCTTAGGGCGGCCGCAGAGTGCCTCAGAACCAGCACGTGGAACGGTGTATTTCTGAAACCAGAATAAAAATAGAAATTCCCAGCATCAACTCTGACTTAGGGAATGAATTGTATTTTGTTAAACTACCTAGATTCCTCAGAATAGAACCCAAGTAAGAGAACTGAATAAAATGTTCAAGGAATTGAAAAAAAAAAACTATAAAATGTTAATTAACTGTTAGGAGTCGGCCAATCATAAGATGAAAGGTTTCTTTTTTTTTTCTTTTTTCTTTTTTTTTGGTTTTTCGAGACAGGGTTTCTCTGTGTAGCTTTGAGCCTTTCCTGGAACTCACTTGGTAGCCCAGGCTGGCCTGGAACTCAGAGATCCGCCTGCCTCTGCCTCCCGAGTGCTGGGATTAAAGGTATGCGCCACCACCGCCCGAAAGGTTTCTTCTCGTGTGACTGAAAACAAGAGAAGGCTAAGTTACTGTAGAGAATTAGGATGCTGGCCGTCTTCCTAGCCATTGATACTCCGCTGCAAATGAACAGATGGCATGTGACGTGTCACTCACGTAAAGCTGAAAATATGGAATGAGAGAGAGATGCCAGAGAAATCATGGGTGGTCAGGGTAAACGACACTGAATCTGGACCAGACAGCGACTTTGCCAACAAAATAGTGTTGGCTGTTCTTAGCTAAAGTACACAGGTGCAAACTCCATGGGGGAAAATTTAGTCCCTAAGCTAAACAGAGGTCTCAGGTTTCAATTTGTTGTTAATCTTTATTTATATATTCTTTAAAAAATATAAAAATGCCATGCCAAGATATTGGCTAATTAAGCTAAGGGACTTTTTTTCCTGGCTGTCCTGGAACTCCATACACAGACCAAGCTGGCCTTGAGATCTGCCTGCCTCTGCTTCCCGAGTGCTGGGATTAAAGGAGTGGACCACAATGCCTGGCTCAAGGGACACTTTTGAAGACGTTCATTGGGTTTCCAGCCCTTCAAACAGCACTGAGGTCTTGGTTTTTTTGAATATGGATGGGCCAGGTATTATTATCTGTGCTTTCTAAGATGTGTTTCCTCAAAGAGGGTTTTAAATTTTGAGCCCTGTTTGTGGATTTTATTTCAGGAAGTTTGTTTTAAAAAGAAGTTTCAAGAAAGTAGCCGTTGGCATACTTGCTGAAGGTTCTCATGAAGTTACTTGTTGGCTGTGATGCATGTGGTAGAGACGGTTGGTTTATAGTGTCAATCAGTTACTAATTATGACTAATATGGCATCAATTTTTAGACCTTTCGATCCTCAGCTGTATGAAGATGAACTTGAAGGTGAGAAAGTGCTTTATGAGGAAGACAAAACTAGCTTGAAATTAAAGGTATTATCCCGTTTCCTGTTCCTTTTTTCTTCTAGTGCCCCCTCACCTCAGCCTTCTGAGTAGCTGTGGCCACAGGTTAAGTTCTTCCTTACATTTTTTTTTTTCTTTTAGATTTACTTAATTCATGTGTGTGAGTGTTTTGGCTGCATGTATGTGTAGGTACACCATGTTTGTGCCTGGTACCTGCAGAGGTTGGAAGAGGGCACCAAATCCTCTGGAACTGGAATGTATGGATGGTTGTGAGCCACTCTGTGAATGCTGGGAACCTGGATCTCCTGAAAGAGGAACAGGTGTTCTTAACCACGAGTCATCTCTCCAGCCCCTGGAGTTTTTTCCTTAGATAGTAAACACAGGGATGATAACACCAGACCCAAGCTTGAGAATGTTCTTAACGTTTCCTGCTTACTCAACAAATAACTCTAGAACATGGAAGTAAATGGCCTTTCCGGATATTTAGGGGAGTAAGCACATACCTTTTCTCTCTCCTCTAGAATTGACACTTTTCGAATGTTTTCAGTTTTTATTTTTCGTTTCTTTGAGACAGGGTCTCTTGTGCAGCCCTGGTTGTCCTGGAACTCACTCTGTGTAGACCAGGCTGGCCTCAAACTCAGAGATCTGCCTGTCTCTGCCTCCAGAGTGCTGGGATTAAAGGCGTGTGCCACTAGCCCAGTCTCAATTTCAAGTTCTAACTGAACTAAAGGGAGAAACTTTGGAAAATCACTAGCTTTCCTCAGATCAACAATGCTGTAAGGTGTACGGGCCTGTCTCCACACTCCTCCCAGCAGCCTCCCACCACAGAAGTGTCTGGTCATGGAGACTTACTTTGTGCATAGAAGCAGACCTTGCCATCAGGGGATTTCTCGAGAATACCTGGCATGACAAGTACTACCATTGTTCATGTAGGGATATTGCCTTTCCAAATGGTGGGATGGTCCATTTTTAGTAGTCTTTTGTGACTTGGAGTTTTCTATTTCATGAATTAATTTGGACCCAAACAGAACTAAGTATAGGTCTCAAATTTTAATTTGTTGCTAATTGTTTTTTCTTTTCTTTTTTCTTTCTTTCTTTTTTTTTTGTGTGTGTGTCTGTGTGTATCTGTGTAGGTACACCATGTGTGTGTGTATACCTTCAGAAGAGGGTGTCATTTTCCCTAGAGCTGGAGTTATAGGTGGTTGTGAGCTGCCCAGCATGGTGCTGGGAACTGAACATGGGTCCTCTGAAAAAACAGCAAATACTCTTAACTGCTAAGCCATGTCTCTAGCTCCTAGTTATTTAGTATTTAAAACAACTTAAAATGTCATGTCTAGATCTTATCTCATTAGACACCTCTTTTTTTTTGGGGGGGGGGGTTTGGTTTTTTGAAACAGAGTTTCTCCGTGTAGTTTTGGTGCCTGTCCTGGATCTTGCTCTGTAGACGAGGCTGGCCTTGAACTCACAGAGATCCGCCTGGCTCTGCCTCCCAAGTGCTGGCATTAAAGGCGTGCGCCACCACCGCCTGGCTCATTAGACACTTGTTCTTTAAGAAATTTATATTTATTTGTGTGTGCAAGAGCATGCACATGCATGTGCACATGGGTCAAAAAACAATGTGCAGAAATCTTCTCCTCACACTATGTGGGTCCTGGGGATTCAACTCAGGCAGTCAGTCGTGGTAGCAAGCCTTTACCCAGTGAGCCATGTCGCTGGCCCTAAGAGACACTTGTTTTTTTGGAAAAGGAGGGTTTTCTCTTATTTTACCCTCCCTTCAATCCTCTCAGGCCCCTTCCCCTTTCCCCCAGGTCCATTCCTCCTCCATTTTCCTTCCAAAAAAAGAGAGCAGGCCTCCAGGGACATCAACCAAACATGGCATAACAGGTTACCATAAGACCAGGCACAAACCCTCATATCCAGGCTGGACGAGGCAACCCAGGAGGAGGGAAAGGGTCCCAAGAGCAGGCCGAAGAGTCAGAGACACCAACTCCCACTGTTGGGATCCCACAGGAACACACAGCTACAGAACCATAACATATATACAGAAGACCTATCTCAGACCCGTATAGGGACTGTGACTGTCACTTCAGTCTGAGTCCCTGGGAAGCCTGCGTAGTTGATTCTGTGGACCATATTCCCTAAGAAATTTAAAAGGTTTTGTTTTGTTTTGTTTTTTTCATTGCACCCATAGTCCTTCAAGAAACTCTGTGTGTGTGTGTGTGTGTGTGTGTGTGTGTGTGTGTGTGTGTGTGTGTACACAACAGTGCTGGGAATAGAACTGGGGGACCTCATATGTGCCAGGCAAGTGCTCTACCACTATGTTACACCCTCAGCTGAGGTGTCAATTTCAGCCACTTACCTTGTATGGACTAACCTACCTCTTCTTTCCTGAGGAGCTAGGTTTTAGCTGTGGCTACAGGCTGCATCCTGTTTAACCTCTCTTCCCACTGCTCTGACCTGGGCCTCCTTAGCCTAACCAACAAGCCCAGACCCCTGTTGCAAATCGGTGGCCGTGCTGCTGAGTCAGCCATTTTCTTACCACCCATCAATTCTTGGCATACGGTTATGAGTCATTTGAGGAACAAAAAAAAACAAATGGCTAGTTAAATTGGTTGTCTGATACCTTTTCTTTCGAACCAGGTGGAAAATACTATCCGCTGGAGGGTAGGCCGGGATGAAGAAGGATGTAGAGTTAAAGAGAGCAACGCTCGGATAGTCAAGTGGTCTGATGGAAGGTGAGTGTTGGAACGCCTGAGGAGGGGCCTGGATCAGTCGGAATTTCCTGTGGAGGACTTTACTGAGAAAACCTGGGCTGTTGGCATTACCCCCGGAAACCCGAGAGAGCTAAGCAGAGTTAAGGCCTTCCAGCCGGGCCAGTGGGAGAGCTTGGATCTGGCTCGATGCGATCAGATCCCTTTTATCTGTCTTGTTGGCTGAAAGCCTACCCTTTGAAACATCAGGGTAATTGGAAGTAACCTTCTTTGGCAGTGCTGGGGATCAAACCCAGGGCTTCATGGGTACATGCCAGTGGTCTACCAGCTGAGCTATAGAGCCTAAGTTGAAACTATTTGAGAACTCAATTCAGTTTGCTAATTAAAAGATACAGATTGAGAGATACTGTAAGACAATTCTATTTCAAGCTGAAAAGTCTGTTCTACCACTTTTTTGCTCTGAAGTGCATATTAGTTACTTTTCTATTGTTCTGATAAAACACCATGACCAAGGCAACTTACAGGAGGAGGAGTTCATTTGGACTTACAGTTCCAAAGGCATAAGAGTCCATCATGGGAACCGGCAACAGGAAGCAGGCATGGTCGTACGAACAGCTGAGAGCTGACATCTCTCAGGCCAGGCAGGAAGCAGACAGCGGGCTAACTGGGTCTGGGGCTTTGAAACCCCAGAACCCACAGCCAGTGACATACTTCCTCTAGCAAGGCCACACCTACCCACGCAGCCACAACAGGGGACCAAGTATTCAAACGTCAGAACATTGAGGGAGGGAGGCATGCTTATTCAAACCACCACAAAGAGACCTGATTTCAGTTTTGTTTTAAGACAGGATCTCAGCTGGGTGGTGGTGGCGCATGCCTTTAATTCCAGCACTTGGGAGGCAGAGGCAGGTGGATCTCTGTGAGTTAGAGGCCAGCCTGGTCTATAAAGTGAATTCCAAGACAGCCAGGGCTGCACAGTGAAACCCTGAAAAACTAAACAAATAACAACAAAAAGACAGGGTCTCACCTGGTGTGATAGAGCACACCTTTGATCCAGCACTGGGGAGGCAGAGGCAGGCTGATCTCTGTAAATTTATAGCCAGCCTGACTTACATAGCCAGTTCCAGGCCAGCCAAGGCTACACAGTGAGACCTTGCCTCAAACAAACAAACTAAAGCCAGGGTTTCACAGCCCATCCTGGCCCAGATCCTCATGCTCCACCTCCCCTGCAGGGTTACAGGCAGACACTTCCACACCCAGCTTGGAAGGAGGCTATTGAGAGCATCTTTTTTTTTTTTTTTTTCTTTTTTCCTATGAATTCTATATGAGGTCAGGATCCTGTGCTAGTCACTAAGCATCCTAATACCGCAATTATCTCCCCTCTCCAGCATGTCCCTGCATTTAGGCAGTGAAGTGTTTGATATCTACAAAGCCCCACTGCAAGACAACCACAACCAACTGTTTATACGGGAAGACACTGGTCTCCGCGGACAAGCCATCTTTAAGTCCAGACTTACCTTTAGGTAACTTTCTCTGTACGTGCCTTGCTACTTGCCATTGAAGAGCAAAGCTGAGCTGTGATGCAGAAAGCCTGACCCTTCTGACTGACGTCATTCCAGAGTGCAGCTCGCCGGCCACCGTGCCTGCTTCCAAGATGAGTTTCTAAAGTTAACTATAAGTTTCTCAGGGAACCAGCTCATGCTATGAAAACTCACAAGGGACTGGTCCATGGCTGCTCAGTGGCCAGGGCACTTACAAAAGACTCGCCATTGTAGCTTGCGGCTTGATCTGTCCTTAACCAGCTAGTGAAACTAACCCAAGACAGCTAAACTGTCACCAGAATGTGGTGCTGGTGTGTGCTCACGGCAGGTGTGACCAAAGCAGTTGTAGCCTGTGCCTGCTCAAGACACGGGGCCAGCTTTGGTGCTATGGCCCATCCTCTTAAGGACATACCTGTGACTAGGATCCAGCTTTCCTTGAGAGGTACAGCATTTACCATGGCAATGAACATGGTTCCTTTGAAGATGCTGAAGTATTTTAAAATCAGATTGTGGTCATTGTAGATGTAGATAAACAGTCTTATTAAATAAGAAACACAGAGCCAAATACAGGGGTGAAAGCCGTAGAGGTTGGAGAAATAGGAGTAGCCACCAGCTAACCTTAGCTCACCACACCGCTGTAGCTTCCCAAGAGAACATCTTCCGTCTAACCTGCGCGTTTATTGCCTTGCTGTTCTGCCTTCTCATTGGCTCTTAGCCCAGCTACCTCACTTCCTCGTCACTGCCTGTCTGTACAGACCTCCAGGTCTCTATGGTTGGTACTGGGATTAAAGGCATGTGTCACTACGCTTGGCTCTGTCCTTGAGCACAGAGACTCTGCCTGCCATGTGATCGGATTAAGGGCATGTGCTAATCACCGCCTAACTTTTGTTTATGGCTGGCTATCTATGTCCTCTGATCTCCAGGCAAACTTCATTTATTTATTTATTTATTTTGGTTTTTCAAGACAGGGTTTCTCTGTGTAGCTTTGGAGCCTGTCCTGGAACTCACTCTGTAGCCCAGGCTGGCCTCAAACTCACTGAGATCCGCCTGGCTCTGCCTCCCGAGTGCTGGGATTAAAGGCGTGCGCCACCACCGTCCGGCTCAGGCAAACTTTATTTATTAACATACAAATAAAATATCACCACATTTCAGCACAAATAAAATATCACCACAGGTCATGGTTGCCCAACTTTGTAAATTAAAACAATTATAAACTGAAAATAAGGGACCATGGGGTGTATATTATCGGTAAACGTGTTGTTTTTTTTTTTTTTTTAAATGACTGTAACAACTGCAAGGGTATATAGTCTTGAGGGTCTCACCAATTTGCAGTTCCCTTGGCTATAAGATGTATGTCACAGGGGTGTTGTGTCAGATAGCACACAAACCTTGCACAGTTAGTGCTCAGCCTTCCCGCTGACGAATGTCTCTAGAAGTATCCTGAAACGTGTGCAGTTCTTAGTTTTTGCTTCCTAACCTTGCTCTGAGCACTGCACTGGGTAGCATTTGACTGCTTGGCACAGTTTTCTTCCTTAGGTCCTTTCTTCCGTCTTTGGGACCCAGTTACAAGCTGTCTTGCTATACTCAGGAAGGCACTTACCGTTTGGGACAGTACAGCTGTGTAACCCAGGCTGGCTTTGAACTCACTCACTATCCATCTTCACCTCAGGCTTGCAGTCCTCCTGGCCTTTGCCTGAGTGATGTGATTACAGGTTGCTTCCATGCTGAGACTCTTGTCTCGTCCTGAGCTTTTGAGGCCCCTCATGCCATTGTGGCTCACTTCCTTTTTGAGACAGGATCGCACACGTGGCCACCTACTTTTGAAAACCATCCTCCTACTTTTATTGGGTGGCAGGAACATCTTTTAGTTCTCAGAATGTTCCTGCTAGTGCATGCTCCACCCTCCTGAATCTGAGATTTCATGACCCTTGTCTGTGATTGTAGCTGGGCGTATTCTTTGTAAAAAGCACTTGATCTGGCCACCTGCCTCTCCCCTTGCACTCTGGGTCAGTCCACTTCCCTTTCCCTGAGTGGTGAACACAGGGAACTGTGGGCCTGCCTCCTCACTCTGCCCAAGTGTGAGGTCATTACCCATGGGCGGTTTGGGTGTTCTCGATCAAAGTGAGACAGACATTTCCTGTTCGTTTCCTGGCAGACCTCACTGTACAGACAGTGCTACATATAAAAAGATGACCCTGTCATCTGGGAGCAGAAGTTCAAAGACACAGATTAGAATCTTACCGATGGCTGGTCGTGACCCTGAGTGGCCACGCACAGATTTGATTCAGGTATGTCTGGTAAGTTTTATGTTGGGACCTTTTGTACATGAAGAGCTGTTTTTTTCTGAAGTTAAAAAAAAATCAAAAAGTTCTTTGGGTACAGCTGAGAAGCAGAATGCTTTGCCTTGCATGTGCAAACGCCTTGGGTTTGATTCCTGGGTAACACAGGGAGAAAAAAGAAAATAGGAGAGCCTTAAGAGCCTTTTCAACTTGACACTGGCTCAGCTCTTCCCATTCCAAAGTGTGGCATGCTGGGTGGGCAGTTCTAAGAAATTGGCAGTTTCCTCAGCCTGTTGGCAGAAGCTGGGTTAATAGGATTTGCATTGTGAGTTCGAGGCCAGCCTGGTCTACAGAGCGAGATCCAGGACAGGCACCAAAACTACACAGAGAAACCCTGTCTCAGCGCCTCCCCCAATATATATATATATATATAATATATATATATAATATATATATAATATATATATAATATATATATATAATATATATATATAATATATGTGTGTGTGTGTGTGTGTGTGTATAAAATATTTATATTATTTGCATTGAAGGCTGCAGTAGGAATGTCCGGGAAGCTTAGAAGCTTGGTGGAGCCTCAGCAGGTCAGGATCTGCAGCTCAGGGATGAGCACAGCTAGCTTTGACGGCTGCAGAGGGTCATTTCAGAGGGGGTTTCTCAGGCTGGCCACTTCTGAGCTGTCAGTGGCATCAGCAGAGGATGCACACAGCTCCCAGGGGTGTGCCTGTGCTAGCTTTGATCAGGACGGTCCTGGGGCCTCTCCTGCACTCTCAAGTGTGGCCTTTACCCCACCAGACCATCTGCGGTGTGGGCTTCCAGCAATGCAGGGCAGAAGGCTGTGCACTGGAGACACAGGGCATCAAACCGCTTTAAAAACGGGTTTAAACAGGCACAAAGGAGCTCCATTTTCCCTCTCCCTCCTCCCCTTTTCTGATGGAGAAACTTTCACCATATTGCAAAGGTGTGGCGGACCAGCCGCCACTTTAGTGACCCAGGGTACTCTTGAGTAGGGAGAAGTGAGAAATATTAGATAGAGAGAGACCTAGACGACGAGAGGAAAGATAGGAAACACAGGATAGCCTCGGGAGGGCCTGGGTCCAAACCCACCAGCCTTGAATGTTATTCCAAAGGGCTTTTTATGACAATGCTCAGGGGAGGAGCAAAGACCTCCCCCTTGGGAGATACAGTCAAGTGTAGACCCTAACAAACACCTGCACTCAGGCCCGTGGTCCAATCATTCTCTTTATGCTGGGCAAAGCGACCAGGAAACCCAGATGGGCTCCAACACATAGGCTTGTCTTGGACTCCAGGTTTAAGATGTCTTCCTGCTTCCCCCCCCCCCCCCCCCCAGAAAAAAGAACGCTTGAGGGTGTCTACTCAACGGAACTTCCGCTCGAAGAGGAAGAACCAGCCAGCTCCAAGTTCCACCATCCAGCAGCCTGACGGTGATGACGAGGAAGAGAAGGAAGAGGAAGAGGAAGACAAGGCCTCCCGACTAGTTACCATTAAAAACCATTACCGAGGAGCAGTCCACGGTAAGTCAGTGTTGGTATCATATCTCATTTTAGTAGGCAGGGCCTAGTTTTGCTCTGGTGGGATCTTCATCTTGCTCATGTTATTTACATAAGATTGTAGAACACCCCCCCCCCCCCCCTTCCGTTTTGCTTTGGTTAGGGCTACTCACCCACAGAAAAGGTTAATTGAAAACAAGACATCTCCAGAAACCACAACATCTGTTTTACACATGGTATGTACCTGTGGAGGGAAATGTATATATTAGCACAATTAAGAACTCAGTATTTGGGGGCTGGAGAGGTGGCTTAGCAGTTAAGAGCACTGACTGCTTTTCCAGGGAACCTGGGTTCAAATCCCACCACTCACCTAGCAGCTCACAACTGTCTGTAACTCCAAGATCTGATGCCCTCACACAGATATAAAGATATTATGAACAACTGGACAAGGTGGCAGAAGCTTGAATTAGTACTATGGAGGCTGAGGCAGGAGAGTTTGAGTTGGAGGCCAGCTTGGGCTGCTACTTGACAAGTTCCAGGCCAGCAACAGAGACTCTTTCTCAAAAACAAAACAAAAACAAACAAAAGAAAACCCCACAACAATGTGTCTATAAGGCTTTGGGGTACCAAATAGTGCTCAACCTGAGAATATCTCAAGCTGTCATTCAGCTCATGTGAAAGGTATATTTATTGAAACTTTAAAAAAAAAGCCAATATCTTATTTATTTCTCAAAAAGTATAGTATGAGTGACAGTAGTCAGCAAAAGTAAAACTCAGGAGCAAGTCTTCTTTGAAGGCTGTTCTGGGAAAATCCAGCTTGAGGAGCCTAGCAGAACATGCTGAGAGCAATGAGGCTGGCCGGCCAATGAGGCAGTTTATTGGGGACACTGTTAGGTTTCTGCCGCCACCCCCAGCTGCATGATGGCGCACAGTCAGCGCATGCGTGGCGTAGCTCCCTAAGCCTACCTGCACATGTGCACGGGAATCCTTAAAGAGCCGGATATAGACGACTCCTCTCTCTTCTCTGTTCTCTCCTCCCCCCACTCCCTTTCCTCTCCTCTCCTCCCCTCCCCCACTCCCTTTCCTCTCCTCTCCTCTCCTCCCCCTCCCCTCCCTCCCTCCCCTCCCCTCCCCTCCGCATGAGCTTCTTCCCCAGGCCTGGTTCTTTTGTCCCCGCTCCTCCTAATAAAGCTCTGATATCGGGTTTTGTCGTGCCTCATGACCTTTTTGCCCGGTAACCAGTGCCGCTTACCATTTTTAAAACAACAGACACAGCAGCAGTTATGGTCAAGGATGGCAGCAAGAGTGCTGGATCCTTGCAACCTGGGTCCAGACAGCGCCGCCTTTCATTCAAAGCAGGAAGCACCTAACTGTAGGAATAAATACTGAAGGTGTCATCACATGCCTGGCCCTGATGGTGCCAGGTTTGTACAGAAGGCTCCACAGCCATTTGAACAGCTGTATTCATCTATAGTGTGCTGGAAGGTGGCAGGGAAGGCAGGCAATCACGGTAGTTAACAACTCAAGATGGCTGCAGCCAGGTAAAGGTGGGTCCCTCCAGAGGTCAACCCCCCTCCCTAAAAATCCCTTTGCTTTCAGAGGAACAAGCTCTGTCTTCCTCAGACGGCGATGACGATGAAGGATCTGAAGAAGATAAGGCCGGAAGAGTACTTAAAGCAAAGAAACACGTGAGTGACAGGAGAAGGCTACATTCATTCAGTTCTAGGGGGACCTTGGATCCAGAGCCCGCTCACAGATCAGGAGCACAGCTGCACCTGCCCCCAGTTCACTGACACTCAGTGAAAACAAGTGCAAGGAGAGCCAGGGGCTGCTGTCTTTCAGGCAGGGGTGGGGCTTGGAGGCCACAGACACTCCCGACAGATGAAGTTTGCAAAATCACAGGCCAGGGCGAGGCACTTCAGCCACACAGAGTAGAGTATAAGGCAGGGTGCCGGCCGAGGCGTTAAGGCTCCTCTAGAGTACGGCACATGCTCATTGTGGATAGACAGGTGCCTGCAGTTTGGATGGAGCAGCGATGGGGGGCACTTCAGTCTGTACTGCTTCCCATCGAGTTTTCGTTTCCCTTTTCTCTTGTTAGACCCCAAAGACATCGGGAGTCATAATTGCGTGAGGGCTCCTATGCTGTCGCTCCTGGGACACAGAAATTCAGTGTCTTCTGAGTGTCACCTCACTTGCTCTAGGTTCCAGAAGCGGGGATAAGCATGGCAGCTGCATTAATGTTAAAATAGTGGCTACTTGTTAATTCATATTTAATGTGCATGTACATAGGTAGACCTTTCTAAACAAATCCACGTAAAACATACCTGAGCATTCTTAAAATTCAGTCTTTAAATTTTTTAATTTATGAGTGTTTTACTTACCTGTATAACCACACGCATGCAGTACCTGTGGAGGCCAGAAGACGGTGTTGGAACCCCTCCACCCATCCACTAGAGTTACAGATGTTTGTGAGCTGCCATGTGGGTGCTGGGACCCGAACCTGAGTTCTCTACAAGAGCCATCTCTCCAGCCTTTAAAATCAGACTTTAAAATACTTAATTTTGTAGAGGAACTGAAACAAAATAATGTATCTCCAGTAATGGGATAGAAATACCATATTGAATGAAAAGTGTCCCTCTACCATGATGGCCACCCAGAGAAGCACAAGTCCCAAAAGCCTAGCTGCTCAGAGACGGTGCTGGGTGAATACAAGTCTCTGGGGCAGATTTCTCCTTTCAGTTCAGAACTGCTTTGGACAAGGCTGCCAGAAATGTCTTCTATGAATTTTATAACCCATCTCTCATATTTCTTTAGGCAATGAATCCTCCAGAAAGAGACCAAGGGTTGAAGAGGAAGAATGAAGTGTGAAATGAAATGTGCGTTGGTGTCTATCCTTAAATAGTCCTCGGTTTCCTGTTTGTGCTGGGATTGAATCTAGGGCTTCCTGTCCATGCATTCTACTGCTTAGGGACAGCCCAAGCCCCTCAAATACATACCCCCCCACGCCCATCAGATATATTAAAGCAAGGATGAACCACATGAACCAATGAATGAGATGGGCCATGCAGAAACCATATCTCCTCTTAGACAGCCACTAGTTCAGGATGAGTCCCACTTTGGGGACCTAATATACGTACCCCTAATTGCCTTCCAAAGGCCCGTTTCCAAGTCCCACCACTACTGTATGTTAGGACTTCAGTGTAGGAATCTGGGGAGGATAAAAATGCTGAGTCTGTAATAGGCGGGAAAGACTAGCTTGGGAATTAGTAAGCTTGATCTCTTAAGAAGGTTTATTAATAAATCAGATGAGCATACAAAGCAGCGGGCGTCACAGTGGCTGCTTCATACGTATGTGCTGTTATACTTGGTTCTCATTCACGCCCCCCTCCCCACAATAAGCTTGTTCCTGAAGGAAGATGTAATGAATGTTAGAATTCTAAAACTGAAGAGATTTTTTTTTTTAAAGTCTGAATACAGGATATTTGATGAACTTTAATAGTTATTTGTTTTGGTATACAGTATGTTTTAAATGCCTATAGTCTTGAAAAGAAACTTTTCTTTGTTATAAACTGGGTGGATAATAAACTTGTGATTTAAATGTCAGAAAATTCATTGCTTTTCAACTTACAAAGCATTTAGTGTTTTGCTTTGTTAATATTAGAAAAACTTTATGTAATACCCAGCTTCAAAGGACAGAAAAACATGCGCTGCCATAAAGGTCTATTCAGGCTTCAAGCAAAACCAAACCAAATGTAATTCATCCACAAGACTGAACTGGAAATAAAGCGGGTATGTGAATTCACAGGGGCTTTACGTTTGTGCATACTTTTTCTCCCACTGCCTTCCAAAGGCCCATCTTCAGCATAAGGATTTGGGGAGGATACAAAGATGGAGTTCCTAACAGATAGGAAAGAGTAGCTCGGGAATCAGTAAGCTTTCTTTTTAAAGAGCTTATGGCTTTAGGTTAGCACACAAGGCAATGGGTGACCTTGGACGGGGATGCTACTGCCTCAGGCTGTGTGTTGGCATTCCACCCCAGTCAGGGAAACATTTTGTAAGCAGCAATTCCTAGACATACACATCTAAAATCTCCAGACTACTGAATAAATGTATTGCTCAGCTGGGCAAAAGGATGCAGGTCTGCGGTTGCAGCTACTCAGGAGGCTGAGGCAGGGCTTGTTATGCCTGCACCATGAGCGCCCAGAGACCACCAGGAGTCCGAGTTCATATGCAAAATCAAAGAGCCTTTATTGCAAGATTGAGCTGGGCTTCCTGTCTGTTCAGACACAGCAGTTGGATCAGGGAGAGCATTGAGCTCAGTTATGGCAGGGTTTTTAAGGAGTAAAGGATGAGGGTGCAGGGGGAATTCCAGATTCAGATGGGGGTTGAACTCCTGATTGGGCAGGAGTGGGGTAACAGAAGTCTTATCAAACAGGGATTGGTACTGACTGGCATTGCTGCAAGGAAATTGGCAACTTAGATTATGTAAAGCTATCCTTAATGTTCTAGAGCCTTTAGTACTTGTTTGTCTCAATTCTGATTGGTCCCCCTGCAGGGTACAGTTTGTGGCTTTTCCTGGTTATTGTAATGGTGAGGCCTAGTCCCAGTTTTGTTAGGTTAGGCCTCTTCAAGCTCACTGAGTTGGAGGCCAGCCTAGGTAACACAGTGAGAACCTTTACTAAAAACTAAACAAAAACAAAACCCATCATTTTTTTTTAAAGCAGAGATGAAATAAACAGTTAAAAATTGCTACACATACTAATAAGTTTTGAATCCCCAGTTGTGTCAATGTAATAAGCCAATCAAGCTGAATTAATAAATCCAGGTTTAATGAACAGAGCAAAGCAATCCTGGGTGACCCTTGGAAAGGCAGGGGAAGAGTCACATGGCAGATATGGGTACCAGGCCGTAAGTAACCTGTGGGCATGGTCTTGAGCAGCCCCAGAAAGGGGCTGGCTTTTGGTGGGCATTGAGGAGGCAGGTTTGGGGAGAGAGAGATGAGGGACGGGAGTTGAGGTGGAGCTTCCACCAGAACATTCCAGACTCTTTGGGTACATGGGTGCCAGGGGCTGAGGTGGAGCTCCCACCAGAACACATACCAACGGAGAAACACCTAGAGGGAACTTGCTGCTGCTTGTTCTGCCGCATGACATTCAGTGAGGAGGCCATTTGCAAACCAGATCTCAATCTGCCGGCATCCAGGCCTTGGCTTTCCAGCCTTCAGAAGTTGAAACTTCACATTGCATCAGGAAGAGTATTTACTAGCCACAAGAGAAGGGAACCAATGACTCCTGCTGAGGGGAAAGAGAAACTACTGATGTTTTAGTCTCTGCCTCCAAGGCCGTGGTGCCTGGAATGGTGCACCCTCAAGAGCACAAGGCTGCAGTGTCCTGTGACAACAGGTGAAAGGCTGTTGTGAACCTCACTATCGGGCCCTTTAAGAAGGCACACTGCTGGATAACTGGGGAAGTGGGGGTGTCAAAGCAATACACAAAAGGGTTCCATGGTGCGAAGCCAGGCACAGACATAAAGATACGCAATAACACACGGTCCTGTTCTCAGCGACCTTGGTTTGCTATGCCACCTTTGATCACTGGAGAAGGCGGTTCTGAGGGCTACAGTTTTCCCCCAAATGAATCCAATCTGGAGAAACCAGGATCTTGGCAGGTGGAGACGCTCTGCCTCATACCAGGATACTTCCGTTGACCAATGCAAAGAGGAGTCAAGAGCTGAACGTGTGCTGAGGACAGAAGACAGGTCTCTGGGCTGTAATGGGCTCAACTTGACTTTGGTGGCAGGGGAGCTGTGTTCTCTGAGGTAGATACAGCTGTTGGATGATGTGGTTTGAATAGCAATGGCCCCCATAAGCTCATAGATTTGAATGCTTGGCCACCGGGGAGTGGCACTATTAGGTGTGGCCTTGTTGAGGAAGTATGTCACCGGGGATGGGCTCTGAGGTTTCAGAAGCTCAAGTCAGGCCCAGTGTCACTCTCTTCCTGCTGCCTGCCGATCCAAACATAGAACTCTCAGCCTCTTCTCCAGATCACATCTGTCAGCATGCTACCATGCTTCCCTCCACGATAATGGACTAAACCTCTGAACTGTAAGCCAGCCCCCAATTAAATGTTTTCCTTTATAAGAGTTGCTGTGGTCATGGTGTCTCATCATGACCTAGAAACCCTAACTAAGATAGATGGCTACTACAGGAAGTAAACTCAAGCATGGATCTTATTTGTGGAACACCAAAAAAGACAAGTGAGTATGCTGAACAGATCCAGAAGGTGAACAAAATTTGTGCCACCTTCTGCCTCACTCAGAGGGCAGGGGCCATCAGTGCTGCAGGCGGAAAGGCTAACAGTATGCATTAGAGAATGCAGACTGGAGGCCTTCAGCAGGAAGCCAGGCTGGCTCTGACTACGGCATTGGCATCTGGGGCTGGAGATCTTCAGGACAACTCAGTCATTCTGTAAGTGCACAGAGTGGTTCAGCCTACACAACCAGCTGCCTTGACCCAACATGGCCTCAACTATATTTTCTTTTCTTTTTCTTTTTTCTTTTTTTTCCAAGACACGGTTTCTCTGTGTACCATTTTTTTGGAGCCTGTCCTGGAACTCGATTTGCAGACCAGGCTGGTCTTGAACTCACAGAGACCCACTCGGCTTCTGTATTTTCTTAATAACTGAAGTAGAGACATCTGAATTATTAGGAATTGTGTAAGAACTCTCCATTGGGAGTTCTTTTCATTTTGTTTATTTAGTTGAGAGTATATATAGTCTAGCTACTGAATGCGAGCAAGGAGAAAGGAAGCAAACTCTTAGAAACTGTGTCCTTGGTGCTCTTGTGAAAATGGTAATTGGGCTCTCTGGATTATGGGTTGTAATATAAAAATCCACCTTTAAAAAAAGTGGGGCCAGAGAGCTGGTATGGAGGGTAAAGGTGCTTGTTTTGATCTCCAGGAGCCATGTAAAGGTGGAAGGAGAAAATCGACTTCAGAATTGTCCCATAACCTCCACGTGTGCCTTGGCATGTGTCCACATAAGCATGCACATGCACACACATTCTCAAACCTATCTGAATATATAAACTACAATATCTGAAAGATTTTTAAGGGATTTGCTCCGTATCAAAACACTGACAATGTAGGCAAAAGGAATGAAATCTTTAAGGGTGAGGGGTTACCCTAAAGGTGTGAACTTGCATCAGTTAATAAAACAGCAAATGGTATTGTAGTGTTATAGTCTATTTTCACCTGGCCTTTAAAACAGATACCTCAGGTCCAATCCTTTGCCCTTTAACTAAGGCTTTCTAAAATACATGACAAAGCAAAAACATAAAAATAATAGTGGCAATGGTTAAAATAATTTACTGAGAAGTATCTTTTTTCCTACCTTACCTCTAAGGTTGGCCCTTCTAAATGACAAGACTGAAAAGTGAAGTTTAAAGTTAATGAAATGTGGGGCCGGAGAGATGGCTCAGTGGTTAAGAGCACTGGCTGTTCTTCCAAAGGTTCTGAGTTCAACTCCCAGCAACCACATGGTGGCTCACAACCATCTGTAATGAGATCTGGTGCCCTCTTCTGGCCTGCAGGGATACGTGCAAGCAGAACACTGTATACATAATCAATAAATCTTTAAATTTATTTATTTAAAATGCATTGTTATGTTTACTGTAAAGTCTGCATGTTGTTTTTGTTATTTTCTGTGTATGTGTGTGTGCCTGCTTGTCTACATGTGTACCACATGTGTGCAGGTGCCCACAGACGCCAAAGGAGGGCATCATATCTGAACTGGAGTTACAGGAGATTTTGAGCTGCCTGATGTGGAACTGAACCTGGGACCTCTGAAAGAGCAGCCAATGCTCTTAATGACTGAGCCATCTCTCCAGCCCCTATGTTTAATTTTTATAAGGAAGGACTCATGGAACCAAATTATAGTGCAGAAAAGTCAACATGACATAAAATCCTTATCTGTGGAAGGTACTTTCTCAATTTAATGGCAAGTGTTAAGGGTGAGAACTATCTAGAAAGCATGGTCATCTGTTAGAATTGATGGAGAAGACAGATCTACAGACAGATGTTCAGATCCCAGAACTCACACCTGTGCCTGGCAGCAACAGCAGGAGTAGTCTCTCAAATGCCCACAGGTTCATTTCTCTTGGGTGCCATGTCTTTAGTCGCTGCTGTTCAAAGCGAAGCAGCACTGGCAGAGTCCAGCCAGACACGGCGGGGCTCCAGGGTGCCGGTGGCTGTGACTCCAGCAGAGCCATTCATTTGCTGGCTAACAGTGGTAACAGTGGTTCTTGACTTTAGACAGGAAAAGTGAGACAGCCCTGGGAACCAGAGGTTTTATGAAGCCTAATAACTTATTTTTAGTGGCAATACGAGTTAAACATGATGTAGCATACAACTAATACTTTATTAAGACACTTCTCTGTTATAATTTTATCATATCGCCTTTAAAGGAAAACACATGAAGGGATTATCAGTTGGAAAACAATTTCTAAAGTTCTATTTACATATCTTTTACATAACTTTTCAGGAGTGCCCCCTTGTATAAAGTGTGTGGCTAATTTGATTAGTGATAATGTACAACTTAATGGTCACGGACACTCTCCTCAAAATCACCAACAGTCTGCTAATACTTTTAACACAAAATGTTTATTTGGTCTTTGAAATGATAGGCACCTTTAGAAAATGTCTTTTACTTATTCTTTAAACTCCAGTAGGTTTTAGCTATAATAAGTGTATAGCACCAAAATCTACTTTCAAGGTATTAATATTAGCCACTAACATTGAATTTAACACATACAATTTCATGTGGACATACTGAAAATTATAACAAGACAAATATGAACACACAGTTTTATAAAATGGGCAATTTAAAGCTTTTTAAAAGAGCAATTTAAAAACATGAATGTTATTTTTATCTAAGAATAAACCATTTAACTTGACATAAAACCCGAGGGTTTAGAAAATCTCTGGGTTAAAATTAAAACTGTTGCAAAGTCCTAATTTATTACTATGTCATAAAAGTCTCAGAGGAATTTGAAAATACCGAGTTACTAAAAAGTCAAGAGGTGCCACACTTTTAAAGATCAAGGTAAACACTGTTCTCCATTATAATTCTTTTTTTGTTTGTTTATTTTTCAAGACAGGGTTTCTCTGTGTAATAGCTGTCCTGGAACTCAGAGATCCACCTGCTTCTGCCTCCCTATTCAATCAGATGAGTTCACACTTAAGTTACTTATAAAGAAGTATTTTCTTCAGATACACAATGCATTACAGAACAGAACTGGAATGTATAGACAAAAGTCAACTTGTTCGTGCTCCACTGGACCTGTTCCTCTCTGTTGTCTGTGGCTGTGACTGCCTCTGCTACTCCTGTAGGAGCTGCTCTGGGACAGGGCACAGACACAAACCCCAATCCTCAAGAAGGGCATCAGTGTGCAGCCTCGCCCAACCCCACTCTGCGGTACGCTGCTCAAGTCCTCACTCTAACGCCTGGGTCATAAAGATAACCTACGCTATACAACTTTTTTTTTCTCTTTCGTTACGATATGGAGTTTTAAAAGTACCAGAAGGAAGCACCTACTAAGGCTGGGTTTCTGAAGAATAGCAGTTTTTGTGTGGCTGGTACACTGTGGAGCGGGGATTAACTGTGCATGAAATGCTGCACTGCACCTGTGGCGGCACATAGGAAGTGTCTTACCACACAGTACAGATCTTTCTTTTCTTAACACAGGTTCTCACATTCACAGGCTAACCTGGAATTTCCTATGTAGTCCAGCCGGGCTTTGAACATGTGGAAATATTCCTTTCTCAGCTTCCCAGGTGCCAGGATTATAGGAGTGAGCCATCAGAGCCAGCTCATGTTTTAGTTTCTAACTGACAGTGCTCATCAGTTTAACTGCCATCCTGCCAGTTTGGGGGCTTGGACTCCCTCCATTATCTAACAGCACCTTTCTTTTTTTCTTTTACTCTAACTGAGTATTGGCAAGAGCCTTTTGTGGAGAAGAAAATAACCTCTCTACTTGGATGCTTTTTTAACCATTAGCTTTTACAAAAATTTAATGCCCACAGCAAGATGAAATACTGTAGTAACCTTAGATATAACTATACTTTCAAACAAGGTAGGCAGTGGAGCAGAATTAAGGACTATTAACAAACAAACGCAAAAAAAAAAAAAAAAAACAAAAACAAAAAACCAACCCCAGTGCAGCTGAGGTCCATTGAACAAGTACAGAAACCTGCAACGCAGAGGAACGTTCTGTCTCCCAGAAGAGGACCGGTCGTCTCCTGGAGGCCTGCTTTGGATTATGTAGATATATCAGATTATGAGTCATCTTTCAAAATTCTGAAATTTTATTTCCCTAATAAGGAAAAAGCAAACTCTTGCCAAATTCATGGATTTTGTTTTGTTTTGTTTTGCTTTTCGAGACAGGGTTTCTCTGTAGTTTTGGTGCCTGACCTGGATCTCGCTCTGTAGACCAGGCTGGCCTCGAACTCACAGAGATCCGCCTGACTCTGTCTCCAGAGTGCTGGGATTAAAGGCGTGCGCCACCACCGCCTGGCCCCAAATTCATGGATTTTTAAAAAGGAAACTGCCATGTGCCCTATCCTTTATGTACAAGAAGCAACACTAACAGTTGGTCGGTCAGCAATGTCCCTTTTTGATTTAAAAAAGATTGGTCCTCAAGGTGTTCAAATTATTCTTACATACATGACTTCTGAAACTTTCTACACCTGCATTTTTATCTAAAAATTATAAATCATTCAATTAATCTAAATTAAAATGATTTCAGTAGAAAGTCTACAAGTATAAAATACTAATTACTGATTTTACAAATAATCAAACATAATACTTTAAGCTAGGAAAATAATGCATATGGTTAAAAAAAGATTTCCAGTCTTTTCCCTTCTACCCAGGACATTTTTACATCTACTGTCACCAACAGGAGCCTTTGGTGATCTGTAGGCTTCCAAAGGTTACCCGTGGCACTCTTACTGGTGGTCTCCTTCAACTCGCCTCTTGCGCACTGTGGGAAGAAAAAATAAAGTCTGTTATGAATCCCTATTGGTTTATAAATTGCTAACTTGCTTGTAACAAGTTTCTGTATAATGCAGTCAACATCTCATAAAAGTGAACTGAGTACTTCTGATTCATATGACCATTAATAAAGAAGGCTCAGTCACTTGCCACTGTCATTACTTGATGAAACTCAAGAGACTTCTAAACAAGAGCTATGTATCTTATGTTATAGGTGCTTCCATATAGCTGGTTAGAAACCTAAAGCAGTGTTCAGTGAGTGTTCAGCACTCACTTTTCAAGCCATTTGCTTACAGACAAAAAAGTATGCCTAAGTTTAGAGAAAAGATTGGTTAATACAATAACGTTTACAATGACACCAGCAAGCTGTGGCTAAGAAGTTATATTAGGGGGCTGGAGAAATGGTTCAATGCTCTTCCAGAGGACCTAGGTTCGATTCCCAGCGCCCACATGGCAGTTCACAACTGTCTGTAACTCTAGTTCCAGAGGATCTGACATCTACTTGCGGCCTCTACTGGTACTAGGCACACACATGGTACAAAGACATACATGCAGGCAAAACACCAATACACAAAATAAAGTTTAAAAATTTTTATTGAAAGTATTTGCATGTTCCCCTGGTTAGATACACCATATTTCCTTACATGGAAGGAATCTATAAAAATACTTGCATCATTTCTAATAACTGACTTTGAACTGTTTTCCAAATCTCCCTTCTCTTTACAAATTTTCCATCTGGGTCCTATAAACGTTGGCTCCAGAAAGTGGCTAACCAACTAGTCCAGATGACGGAGCAAACAAGATGCAGGGACCTGACGACGCTTGGTCTCTTCATGGACTGGTGACGTGAAACCATTGCCGAGCTCGCCAGTAGCAAGTAAGCTCTTCGGCTATCTTGCTCTTTTGACTATCAGTCACCAAGGGCATTTACCAAAAGTCACCACGTCAGTATTCAACACTATGGCTGACCACTCTTCAAAGAGTCAGGAAGGGGACATAACCACAGCTCTGTCACTGTTCTGGGTGTGTGCTTTGGCAGTCAGCCTCTCGGAGTCTCAACTTTCCTCTCTGGGAGGAGAATAACGGTATCTAATCCTCACAGCTCTCCGTGACAACGTGGTGCACAGAGGAGTGCAGAGAACACAGTAAGTGTTTAATAGAGAGGACTCCTCTCCACCCACCGCTGTGAGACTACACGTTGGCCCCGAGGGCAGCCATGTTCCTAGTGAGGAAAAGGCAACCTGGCCGCCAGGAGGCGCTGCTCTCCTGTGCTATTGCTTTGCTGCTTTGCACTCTGACTGACTGCTGAGTCCCCACGTTCCCTCCAGAAGCGGGTCACAAGGCACTGCCTCTTTCTAGCCTGAGTTGGCTGTCAGAGGAGCTAGTCAAGAGTGTGCTGGCTCCTGCCCAGCCACAGTTATGGCTGCTCCCATGCTATTCTGACTGCTGGCTGCTGGTGTCTAGGAGGACTGTCCAGTCACGGGCTGGGTGGAGTTGAAAAAATAAAAGCAAAGGCTACAGTCTCCACAAACTATACTTACCTACTCACCTTTTCCTAACTCTGTCTGATCTAACCTATAGTAATGAGGAACAAGCTTCAAGTGTCTACTGAAAAGTTGAGGGAGAAAAAAGTCAAGGAGACCAGAAAGAAATACAAATACAAACAGGCATTGAAAAGGAAAACACCAGGCAAGTCTTAGGGCAGGGTGGACTGGTTTTGGCAAGCCATTTCAGATGTTAAAATGCATGCTAAAACAATGTTAAAGGCATTACAGACAGGATCTACAGGACAGAGCACAGCAAACACAACTCCAGAGAAGCCGATTAGGCACTTAGCTAGTGTACAGAGGAACAGCTCAGTGTAGAAGTGACTATTGTATGTGGACCATACAACCTCTTTTCTGTTAGAGCTCGGACACTTCTTAGCTGGAGAGATGGCGAGTAGGCAGAAGTATTTCAATGGACAGCTGAGAGTAAGAAGACAATGAGAAGATATTATAAAGATGAGGACAAGATCTGAGAGAGCCCCATTTGCAAGCTGAAGGAGAGTTCTTTCAGGAGACTGTCAGGTCAGGCCGCTGGGACCCCTGGGTTAGAAAGCACGGTTCCCAGGCTCTCTGCCAAGTCTACGGGCAGAGACCACAGTGCACTGGAAGAGAATGAAGCTGTGAGCAGATCTGAGGCAGCTGCTGTGTGCACAGCAGGGCAGAGGGCAAAGGGCAGAGGCCAGTCTTGATTATTCTTCGTCACCTGGTGTCTAATCTTTGTTCCCAAAACCTACTTCATGAGAGTAAAAATTCTTGATCCTTCACTGGTAGCCACTGTTGATAAGTCTTAACTAACCTCACTTTCAGTCTACAAAACAATCATGTTATTTTTTTCTTTTAAAGTACTGTGATAATCACATAGCCTATACTAGCTCCCAAATGCCTCCAACATAAAACATAAAAAGCAAACAACTAAGTTCTTTGTCGTGTAGTTTTAGCACCTTCTATTAACCCCCTGCTCCGTCTTTCCCACCCATCTTCGTAATGTTGACCGTACTTCATGCTCATATACAAATATGATGCATTCCAGTTATTCTCACCCCACCCTTGTCTCTCTCCCATCCCTATCAATCCCCTCTCTTCCCTGCCGTGATATCATTTAAAAAATCTGTATTTATTCAAACAAGTATGCAAGGAGAGTTTATTGTAGAGCTTGCTCTCACATCCAACCCTCTATACATGCAGTGCCCCCTCCAGGAATCTCCTTATTGTCACGTGCTGTGGTTTGTTTTTGCTCTTTTGGGGGCCCACCACCCAGCTCCCAAATAACTCATACACAGAGGCTTATTCTCAATTATAAATGCCCGGCCTTAGCTTGGCTTGTTTCTAGCTAGCTTCACTTACCTTTAAATTATCCCTTCTACCTTTTGCCTCTGGGCTTTTATCTTTAATTCCTGTATAACTTTTATTTCCTTCTTACTCCGTGTCTGGCTGTGTAGCTGGGTGGCTGGCCCCTGAAATCCTCCTTCCTCTCTCATTCCTTGATCTTTCTTCTCCCAGATTTCTCCTTCTATTAATTCTTTCTGCCTGCCCATCCTTTCTCCTCCCTCACTATTGGCTGTTCAGCTCTTTATTAGACCATCAGGTGTTTTAGACAGGCACAGTAACACAGCTTCACAGAGTTAAAGAAATGCAGTATAATCAAAAGTAACACACCTTAAAATAATATTCTACAACATAACTAGATTAAAGGAATAAAACCACAGCAACATAAATGCAAATCTGGCTGAAACTTAAAAGAACTACGCTGCTCGGAAATGCCACCCCTGTTGAGAGGACTTATTTTTACTTCTTGCCTACAATGAATCTTGTCAAACATTTCAGTGGTAAATTGCATAACTTAAAAAGAGAGTCACTTTCTGGAAACACAGAGAAACAAAATTACAAGCACAGTATTTATTAACTCATCCAGGACCAGAGAGTTCATTTCGATCAGGGACCACAAGAGAATTGGGATCACTGAGGCAGGTGAGTGCAGGAGGAGGGGCACTGCACACAGACAGGCTAGAGAGTTTAACTATACTCACTCGATATTTCATAATATAAAACTGAATTCCTGTCTGGATCTGCTTGGTAAACAGGCAGAATGCTCTCTGGTGGTGGTGGACTCTGTTTCAAAGCACAAGGAGGAAGTGGCAACCAAGAACAAAGCATCTGTCCTGGAAAGCGTCATGTAAAGCTAGCACGTGCTTGTCACAGACGTGGTTCGCCATCGACAGGAAGACCACTACACCCTGGCACAGCTCTGACTCACTGAATAAAGGACCGAGCAGCACTGGACACCAAGGACAGGCTATTTTTCCATGTTACAATTTATTTCTAAAAGAGCTTGGTGCGGTATTGGGAGACTTAACTGAGCATTGCACACATCTTACCCAAGTCGTTGTTTTTCGTTATAGCATTGGCCGCCCTGGTTCGGGGTCCCTGCTGCGTGAACTGATACCCAAATTTAAGGATATTCGTATTTTCTTCGAGCATCTTGGCCATTTCTAATTCTACAGCTGTGCCCAACTGCTGTCTCTGGAAGGATCAGAAACAAAGAATGATATTAATAAACCAGATCAAAACATTTTTAGGTAAAAAAAAAAATTAAGACTCACTTCCATGCTGAGTCTGTTGGTCTCTTAAGTTTTCCCAATTTCTACAACATACATAAGAAATACATTTTTTTTTTCTAGTTTTTTGAGACAGGGTTTCTCTGTGTAGCTTTGGAGCATGTCCTGGAACTCACTCTGTAGCCCAGGCTGGCCTTGAACTCACAGAGATCCACCTGCCTCTGCCTCCCGAGTGCTGGGATTAAAGGCATGTGCCACCACCATCAGGCAAGAAATACATTTTTAAAAAGTTCAAGAGACACCAAAAGCTCATATAGAAATGAAAAGCAGTGTGGATACTGTGAGTGCCACCTCATACTGATGAAAGAGACAGAAAGAAAGGCTGAGGAACTACATCAGGTATGGAGGTGCACACTCGTGACCCTAGTACTGAGAGCTGACAGCACATGTTTAAGGTCATCTTCTCACACAGAGAAGGTAGCCTGGGCTACATGAGACTGTCTCAATCTTGGCCCCAACAAACCCAAACCAACAACAACCAAACAAGATGAACAAGCAGAAGGCACGGTAGTGGGCACCTCCAGTCCCAGGTACTGGGGCAGGCTGAGGTGGGAGAAATACTTGATGCTAGACCAAGAACAGTCTGGGCAATACAGTGTGACCCTTCCCTTTGTTTAAGTGGCTGTCAAGAATATGGCAAAGTGGGCCCTTGGTAATTGCTCAGAAAGCAGAATTATCTTATCAACCAGTAGTTTTACTCGTAGGTGTAAGCCCCAAGAAATAAACATGTATGTTCATAAAAAACTTAGACGTGGCTGGCTGATGGTGGTGCATGCCTTTAGTCCCAGCGCGTGGGAGGCAGAGGCCCCACAAAAGTGAAAGCATTAGCACTGCACTGGTCTGATAAAGACAGTGTCCTCAGAGCAACCTGGGTACTGGGATGTTCCTCTCACTGGACCTGACGCTTGCTGTTTTGGCTATCAAGCTCCTGGGATCTGCTTTTCCCTGACCCCCAATGCTGGAGGTGATCCAGGTAGATGTGGCTGTGGCCAGCTTTTTTTACAGAGGTGCTGTAGACTGAACTCAGCTCCTCCTGAAATCATAGCAAGCGCTCTCACCCACTGAGGCATCTCTGCAGCACTATATTTCTTCTTTCATGCAATCAACTCTCTTCATAGTCTCTGTATTTGGAACTGTAATACTCTGCAGATACAAAAGGTTTACCTACTGTGTGGCTCTCTCAAAGAGCTGGGGAAAAGTGGGCTAAATCATATGTGCAAGTCTTCACAGTCAGCCACCTATCTAACTCCTTAAATTGACTTTAAGAGACTTGCTATATATTCACCCGGTACATCAGTATTCTGGATCCCCAAATGTCTCATCACCCCCTTTCCACCACCACCTTTCTGAGAGGGCTACAGCGAGCCCTCCTGGCAGTGGGGGCTGCAGCTTCCTCCGATTCTTACTGTAGAACCAACCTGATTGTCAATCTTGAGCTCTGTCAGGGTCTCATTGTCTCTCAAAGCATCAATCAGTGCCAAAACCCCAGTGCCTGTGATGAAGTTGGACTCCATATTTAAACTCTTCAAAGTTCGGTTCACTTTTAGCATATCTGCAAATGCCTAGAAATTCAGAGAAAACATTTGGAGATTAAATTTTGATAGCACACATTTTTCACTGCACATGCCGTAAGTAAATTTATAAACTGAACTTTCTTAAGTTTCTCTTTACATTTTTCAGCTTGTTACATTACTGCTCAGGTCTCACATGGATTTACTTATCCCATGTACATTACCATATATAATTTTTTTTTAAGATTTATTTATTTTATGTATGAGTGCTCTATCTTCATGTATGCTTCTTATACCAGAAGAGGGCATCATATCTCATTACAGATGGTTGTGAGTCACCATGTGGTTGCTGGGAATTGAACTCAGGACCTCTGGAAGAGCAGCCAGTGCTCTAACCACTGAGCCATCTCTCCAGCCCCACCATATATAATCTTTAGATTATTTGGTCACATGTAATTTCCTGGTGCTGACATTCCCAACTCCTCTTCATATTTCATGTTCATTCATTCTCTACTCCATATCTCCTCTCCTACTTCCACAGTTTCTGTAAGGAACTAATTCCCTAATATCCCTTACGGTTTGAGGGTGAGTAAGACAGAGATGGCTCACTGGAGAGGCAACTGCAAAGATCCAGAAAAGACAAGACTGTATGGGTCAGGGCAGGAGTAACAAAACATGAGAAATGGTTGGATTCTGAATTATTTTCCCCTGACTTTTTAATAAAAAAATAAAAAAGAAAGGGTCTCATGCATCCCAGGCTGGCCTCAAACTCTCTATGGAGCTGAGGATTGCCTTGAACATCTGATCATTCTGGCTCTTCTTCCTGAATGCTGGGATTATAGGTATGTCCTACCACATTCAGTCTGTGCAGTCCTGGGGATAAATCCAGGCCTCTGGGCATGCTGAGTGAGCACTCCACTACGTGAGTGCCGTCTCCATCCCTCCCCACCCCCTCTGAGACAAGCTTCACACTGCAGCATTGTCTGGTCTGGAACTCAGAGACTGGCCTGCTTCCACTTCCAGACTGCTGGAATCAAAGGAGTGCACTGCTGCACCCGGATCTGGCCATTAAAAACCTTGAATGTGTCTATATGATGTGTGTAGATGCATATGCATTGTGGTGAGCACGAGGAAGGGGACAGCTTTGTGGAGCCCGTTCTCCCCTCCTGCCTTTACACGGGTTCCGAGGACTGAACTAAAGCTGTCAGGCCTGTTTGGCATGTGACTTTACTTGCTGATCTATCTCACCATGTTGCTCTTAAAAGATAAGATCTCATCATACGGCCCAGAATGGCCTGGAGGCTGCTATGTAAACCAGGGTGGACTCAAACTTATGGCAATCCTCCTGCCTCTGCCTCTTGAATACCAGGATTACCTGTGTGAGCCAGCACGACTATCCTGGGTTCCAAAAATATTTTGAAGACAGGATTATTGAATATATGCTTTAAGGCTGTAAGAAAGGGAAGTTAAGAGTGATTGCTTTTAATTTGTTTCCTGTCTACCAGGGACAGTAGACTGATGCTGCCATTTGGTGATAAAGACTGAAACACCAGGCAGGGGACAGAGTCAGGAGTTCAGTCCGAGTCTCTGATATGAGATGTCCATTAGACATCCAGGTGCACTACTTAGTAGGTAGCTGGGGGTCAGTGCAGAGTGAAAGAGACGGGTACAAGGGGCACTGGAGTCACCGGCATGTCCAAACAACCTACAGCACTGAAACGATGAGCTTGCCCAGGCAGGAATGCCGGGGAGCAGAAAGCCCGGGACCACGCCAGTGTTCCGAGGAGGACTGTGGGCGGGAACCTGGGACTAGGGAAGTGGGGGAGAACAAAAGTGACCGCGCAAAGCCACGGGGAGGAAAAGGCTCTTCGGACGACTGACGTGATCTTCCCAGGAATGTAAGGCCGGCGGCTCAACACACCCAAGTCAGGGTTGGTGCTGAAAGGACAAACACCACATACTCATCTCCAGAGAGAGCATTTGATACAAACCCCGAGTCACAGACCCCTAATGGGACCCTGAACCGACAGACGCTAAGGATACAGCAGACCTTTGTATGCTGACACAAAAAGAGCTCCAACATATTCAGTTGAATGAGAAATCAAAATCGAGTTAATTCATTCTTTCTTCTTTTTTTGTGGTCCTGGAGATTAAAGACAGGGACTCACAGGTAACTTAACTCACAGGCCAGTGCTTTATCATTTACTCATATTACCATTTATGCCCAAAAAATGAGGAGGAGGCCAAGGCAGTAAGATCATGAATTTGACGGCAGCTTAGGTTACCCAGTGAGTTGTTACCTTGGGAACCTATCTCTTTCCTGCCCCAAAAGAGGAAAAAAATATATAAAATAAATGATAAATACAAATAAAAATTTAAAAATACAACAGGGTACATAATGTAGTGCCAAATAGTGAGGTAAAATGGTAAGTGAAAAAAAGAAAACCCATATGTATATCAATCACAGTTTGGGTCAAGGAGATGGCTCAGTGGATCAGGGCACTGGCTGGGAAGCCTGGCTACCCGAATTCCATCCCTAGGACCCATGTGGTGGGAGAGAACCGACTCCTGCAAGTGGTCCTCTGACCTCCACGTATGTACTATGACACATGTACACACACACACACACACACACACACACAATAAATCAATAAATGAATGAGTGTAAACGAAGTCACAGTGTAAGAGGGTACAGTGGTTCAGGCCTGCACATGAATCCAAGGCCAGCCTGGGCTAGGAGAGACACTGTCTCACAAAACAAATCGGTTAACCTCACTATAGCACAGGTCTGTAGACATGAGCTGGGAATTACTGACAGTATCAATCACAGCATACTTACGACAGCCACGGGGTCATTGCTCCTGGTGGCTGCAAGACTGAAGTGTTTCACATGTGTGTTGGTTTCCAAAGTCTTAGCAAAATCTTTTAGAGTTGGAATTGGGATATTCTTGAAAGACAAAAATGTGAAACACCATCAACATTTTAGCTTCAGGAAGTTCAATCCATCAATCAAATACACTTATACTTACTGTTTGCTTAAAAACATATTCAGGAAGTATGCAAACAAGCACCCTAGTCTACAAAGCAAGTTCTAAGATAGCCAGGACTACATAGAGAGACCCTGTCTCAAAACAAACAAACAAACAAATAAACAGTAATAATAATTTGAAAAAACAAAAAACCAGATCCCAGAAAGCCAATTTCTAGGCATTTGGTCAAGAGACACAAAAACGTCTATTTTTCGAAGGCCCCACATGTAAGTGTGTGCTGCCGCTTTACACATAACCATTCTAGACTGGAAGCAACCCATATGTCAACTACTGGACTCCAGGATGAACAAACCACAACACGTCCCAGGAGAGAACGACTCCACAGTGACAAAGGACAGACTAGTGGCGCTTACACAACACGGTGAGTCTCAAACGTGTTAGCCCAAAGGGAAGACTCAGCAGGCTGCAAACTGGACTCCATCTACAAGGCTGGAGAAGGCATGATGGACGGGGAATAACACAGGGGCCCGAAGAGCTTCGGACGTTACAGGTGGGCTTTACGTCACTTAGTCAGGCATTTATTGTTGGTTTTACAACTTGTCAGTGGTATTTTACAGCTTTATTTCCCAGGACTGTACATTAAAAGAATTTTACTTAACTATATTAAAAATACCTTAATAAACCTGATTAAAATAAAAACCAAAGGCGAAAGTTCTTAAAAGTAGGCAGTACTTTAAAAGTTAGAGTAACTTACTGACAAGGTATAGGACCACATTCTTATATGAAAAACTCTTTAAAAAGCAAGTAACAAAATATTTTCTATAATACCTGAATTATAAACTTTGAAGAAATCTATGTTTGTATACTGTTAGTATACTTGCCCTTAAAGCAGAAGTTAAGACTATACATCAGAACTGCCATATTACTGACCTGGGTTCAGCTGACTCAAAGCAAACATCATATATGTTGATGTTGATACATATGTATATTGCATGCTTAACATACTTACTTTTATATTATTCAAATTAACTTCAACAAGACGGGAATCATTTTCCTTAATTCTCTTTAAACTCTCTTCAACGTTGGTTGGATTTGGAGGCTCATCAAACACTGGAAGAATCTTTTCACCTTTTACCACATCTGTAGGAACAAACAGAAGAGCAAGGGTTGACCGAGTCGGCTGGAATTGACAGGAGACACATTAACCTGGTCATCTACCCCACTCCCAGGCCACACAATCCACATGTGTAGTCTGGAATCCCTTCTGCACAACTGCTAAAAGATCCTCTACCTGTTGGTAGTTACTATGTCACCACAGAAAGTGTTGCTGAGTAGATGACACGGGAGGAGCAGGCTTGCTCCCAGTTCAATTAATAAGGCAGCTTTCTTCCATCTAGTGGAGCACAGGAGGTGGAGGAGTACTTCTTCAGTGAATGGAAACTTGAGTGAGCGCTCAGTTTTACAAAACCACAGACTGGGTATATTTTAGGTCCAACATCTAATAATGGCATTAGCTTATGTTTTTAAAAAGTTCTTAATTTGTGAGATACATATATATGTGTGTGTGTGTGTGTGTGTGTGTGTGTGTGTGTGTGTATGGGCACAAGTAACAAAAATAAGGTCTGACTTTCAAAATAGTATCTGTTTAATGGCCTGCTACAATTACATGAAAGATTCGTGGGGAACTGTAACTGGATAGACCAGGCTGATGCCTGAACCAGCTCATCTCTTTTTTTATTCTCTGCCTCCCTCCTTCTCATTCTGAGACAGTCTTGCCATGTAACCAAGGCTGTCGAGAACCTGGAATCCTCTTGCTTTAGACTCTCTAGTGCTGAGATTAGAGGTGTGTACCTCCACGACACACACAGTTCCTCAATGGTCAGTCTGAACAGTCTCCAAAAATGAGGGACCACACTTGATAAGTTATGTGATTTAAGCATTAAGTCAAAATTCCTACATCTGAATCTGACCTCGCCATTAACCTAAATTTTATAGAAACACCGGAGACATAAAAACATAAAATAACACCCTGGGGTTGCAACAAACCAAATCCAGAATGGAGAAGTTTTTATTCGGCAAATAACCTAGTTCACTGGTGAAATAAATGACAGGGAAGAGGAGGGATGAAGCTGAGGAAAGGAACTGTTAGGAAACAGACTGGGCTGGTGGGAGGTCTCAGCAGGCAAAGGGGTTTCCTGCCGAGCCTAGACCCCTGGGACCCCTAAGGTGGAGGAGAGAACTGACTCCTGCAGTTATCTTCTCATTTACACATGTGCAACACGGCAGAAGGTTTTTTAAAGAAAGGAAAACGAGACTGAAAAACACACAAATATAATGTGTAACCCTTACTCGGATTCCCATGTGAAGCAAGGATGAGTTGTTGATGGTTTTGAAAGTAAGAGAAGTTTGGACATAGACTGAATTTCAGAAGACATAAAGTAAATATTAAATTTTGTTTTTAATAATGGCATTGGGTTATGTCTTAAAAAGTCTTAAATTTGTGAGAGACATATATACATTATATGTGTGTACATATATACACATATATGTTTGTGTTTTATACACAAAGTAACAAAAAGTTTGACTTTTTTTTTTTTTTTTTTTTTTTTTGGTTTTTCTGAGACAGGGTTTCTCTGCGTAATAGTTCTGGCTGTCCTGGAACACGCTCTGTAGACCAGGCCGGCCTTGAACTCACAGAGATCTACTTGCCTCTGCCTCCCGAGTGCTGGGATTAAAGGCGTGCGCTGCCACCACATGGCTAAAGGTTTGAGTTTTAAAAAATTCAGGGGGGAAAAAAAAAGGCTGGTGAGACGGCCCAGCAGGTGAAGGTGCCTGCTGACGGTCAGATGGCCTTGTGATCCCTGGGGCCACACGATAGAGAACATGAGGGGCTCATGAGGGCTGCCCTCCGACCTCTGCTGACGGTCAGATGGCCTTGTGATCCCTGGGTCCACACGATAGAGAACATGAGGGACTCATGAGGGCTGCCCTCCGACCTCTAAGTACAAAAGGGAGGGAGGGAGGGAGGGAGGGAGGGAAGGAAGGAAGGAAGGAAGGAAGGAAGGAAGGAAGGAAGGGAGGACAAATGAACTTACGTCAGAAAAACTGTGAAGGAGCTGAGAGGGAGGCAGAAGAAAGGTTGGTAATGTTAATAAAATAGCTGCAGGCAGGTAATGAATACCTGATGTTTTCTTCTTTCTCACAGTCGAACATTTATGAAAATAAAAAGTTAAAAACCATGGGAAATAGCTAAACCACAGAACATTCTAAGAGGGACAGCTATACCAACGTTTGAATAACATAAATCTGCATGTAGTGGTTGGAACCTCACTGCTTCTTTATGTGGCCCCAAGGCTCCTGGCACTCTAAAATCCCAGCTCCCTCAGGGGGACATTAAAGAGAACAATAATGCCTCTTCCATAGGGCTGTTGTATTAAGTGAAGATAATCCGCACTATCCACAGAGGAGGTCCATAGAAAGAACTTAAAAAGCAAACAAACAACCCTAGAAACAGTGTTATTATTGAAAAATTAAGCTGTGGGCTGGAGAGATGACTCAGCAGTTAAGAGCACGGGCTGCTGCTCTTCCCGAGGACCTGGGTTTGATTCCCAGCACCCACATGGTGGCTCACACCCAATTCCAGTCCCAGGGACTCCAGCAGCCTCTTCCTGCCAGCACGGGTGCACTGACACACTTACAGACAAGACAGTCAGTACAAACATATTCATTAAAATTCTTAAAATCAAGTTGCGATAAATATATAATTTTACTAAAAAAGCAATTTATGTATAACATGTATGTATATATCTGTATATAAACTTCAAACAGGACAGAATCATAAAACAGGACACATACCATCTTATTAACAGTTGAGGGGGGAGGGACAGGCTACATAATGCTTGTGAATAGAGACATTTACTTCCTTTTAAAAAGAAATTATTTATGTGTATGTATGTGTGCCTACTTGAAATGTAAGTGCATCACTTGCAAGCAGGAGCCTACAGAGACCAGAAAAGGGCATTGGATCTCCTGTAAATGAAGTTGCAGGTGGTTGTGAACCACTGTGGAGGTGCTGGGAACCAAGCCGAGGTCCTCTACAGGAGCAGTAAGCTCTAGCTGAGTCCTCTCTCCAGCTCTGAGACATTTACTTTGTAGTGTATACATTTATGTCATGTTTAAATATGCTACAACAGCATATATTTACCTGGAGAATTTAAAATCATCCTGTATTTTTAAATAAGAAACTTTGTCAGAATTTCCATGGATTCCTTAAAACTAGCAACACAACAATAAAATGTCGACAAAAACTAAGCATGGCTGGGCTGGGGCTGTTCAGTGGCAGAGAGTTCAGGTAGTATGCTTAAGGTCCTGGGCTGGATCCCCACACTGCAAAAACAACTCAGAAAAAAAAAACAAGACAAATTAAAAACCCTAAGCTTGTCTAGTTTTCATACTGCTTGTCATTAGTATTTATGTGGCAAAAGCAGTTCTCATTACATTTGCAACCATATTAAGATTAAAATACTGCCAGGTATGGTGGCATATGCCAACACTCAGGAGGCAGAGGGCAGAGACAGGCAGATCTGAATTTGAGGTCAGCTAAGGCTACACAGTGAGACCCTGTTTTCAAAAAAAAAAAAAAAAAAAAAGACTAAAATACTCAGTATTTATTCTATTTTTTAAAGTTTGATTTGAAAAATATTTATTTTGTGCCGGGTGGTGGTGGCGGTGGCGGCGGCGGCGCACGCCTTTAATCCCAGCACTTGGGAGGCAGAGCCAGGTGGATCTCTGTGAGTTCGAGGCCAGCCTGGGCTACCAAGTGAGTTCCAGGAAAAAGGCGCAAAGCTACACAGAGAAACCCTGTCTTGAAAAACCAAAAAAAAAAAAAAAAGAAAAAAGAAAAAAAAAAGAAAAATATTTATTTTAATTTATGTGTATGTGTGTATGCCACATGTGGGCAGGGGCTTGGTGGCCTGGGATGGGCATGGGATCCCCTGGAGCTGGAGTTATTGGTAGTTGTAAGCTGTACAACGTAGGAGCTAAACTTCCATCCTCCAGAAGAACAGGAAGCATTCTTAATGATGGGATACAGGCATGAATCTACACCTGACTACATTTTGTATTTTAATGGCTTTCTGTAACAGTACTATCAAACTTGAATTTTAAGTTTAATACACACACACACACACACACACACACACACACACAAAAATAAAATATCTGGTGTAATAAATACCGAAGTTAATACATGGAGGAAGCAAAACATTTGACAAAGGATTGGCATTCTCAAGGCATTTCAATTACTCACTTGAAAAATGTTCTTGGTCGACACCATTACTGCTCGCCACCACATCACAGAACTGTGAGTTTGTGATCAGACTGTGCATTCCTAGAATAGCTGCAGAGAGAAGAGAGGTTTCACTTCTACCTGCTCTAAACTTTTCCATTTCTACTGTGTGTAGACGGAGTCTGCTGTGTTGCCCAGGCAGGCCTCTAACTCCTGGGCAGAAGCAGTCCCCTGCCTCAAGACTTCCAAGTAGTTGTGACTAATGATGTGTGCCCAGTACCCAGTTTGCAACCAAAAATTTGTATTAATAATTTTAACATTCTCTAGACATTTTTCTATTAAACTGAAAATGGACTTTACAACCCCCAACAAGAGGACGGGGTGGGTGTAGTGTTTAGAAATCACCGACAATCTCCCATTCATTTTCATCAATACCGTTGCTATTTCCCAATGTCTTAACTTAGACAACAGTGTGAGCCAGACAGACCCTAAAGGGAACTCCATGCTTAGCGCCACCTGGTGGCTAAGAGAGGAAACGGAAAAGATTTACTTGGCTGCTCATTGTCTAGGTTTCTAGGAACAAAACAGTTCAAGCACGGTGGTGCATGTTGAGACTATACTAAAGCACTCTTAAGGTCGTTCATTTAAGGTAATGTAGCATCCTCAGAAACACTCAAATCTTTTGATGTCCCCTCTAATGAAAGTACCATCTATAAATCCACCAGTCCTTTGTCCCTCAAGAATATACCACCTTCTCTAGCTGGGACAACACACCTCACTCTGCCCTTTCTAGGGTTCTTCCAAAAACTTTCAATCCACTTTCAAACATGTCAGTTCTTAGAGTTCTCTGGCATGTGGGTCTTCCTACATGTCACATTTTCCACCAGGGGAAATGGGTATTTCCCACACAGTAAGTGGGGAAGAGTGGTCTAGGTAAAAACTGGCGATGTGGATTCAGGAGGTCTGCAGTGCTCCGTGTCACTCTGGCCAAGTTGGGGACATGAATACAGCTTTTGATTTTTACTTACTCTCCATGAAACAGGGCAGAAGTTGACCCTGAAGTGTGTCTAGTGCTCAGACAGGACAGGCTCACCAGCTGGTGATATGGCTTTGTTGTTAGAAAGAATTTAAAATACAGCAATGAAGGAAAAAGTATCCAATAAATTTTATCGCCATAAAATTTCACCATAGAGAGTACTTAAAAGAATCCTACTGCCAGGTTTTCTGTGTAACGTGCAGAGTAAGTGTTTGTGTAGTACATGCAGGTGGGCCCTGCGTGACTCTCCCCACACCACACTCATTTAAAATTTGCTCGTTTGAGGCAATACCTGCAAGGTCACACAATTCTGTATCAGAGGCACTTGTCAAAGCTTCTTCTAATTCTGGATCAAGGGATATGTTGTCTTCTGTAAAAGTCTGCACAGGTTTCTGTTTGGGGATAAAAATTTTCCCTGAAAACAAAACAAAACCACACATTTGTTATTCATTTTTACTAACTCATTACCATCTTTGCCCTTCTAACAAATGTTAGGTTAGGCATGTGCAACTGAAATGGACAATATACTAGCAATATACTGGCTATACACGTTAGAAAGGAAGAATCCCTGAGAAACTCCCCCACCTCTGAAAATAAAAATGGCTCTTCTTGTTTTCTGTTTTGTTTTGAGATAGAATTTCACCACGTGGCTGACACTGGCCTACAACTGGCCTTGAACTCACAATCCTTTCACCTCTGCCTCCTGAGTGTACGATGCTCAGTTCTTTCATGGAGCAATTATGAGTTATTTCACAAATTCTGAACCAATATTTAGATGAAGCTAGTTGAGCAATCCGAGCACTTGGGAAACTAAGGAAGGAGAACCCGAAGCCAGCATGGGCATAGTCGCCAGGCCAGTCTAGCACGAGGAAACAAAACAAAGTCTAAACCAATCAACCAACTGCACGAACACACACACACACACACACACACACACACACACACACACACACACGAAAGTCTATAAAACTTAAACACAGGATCCAATTTCTTTTTTTTTTTTTTCTCGAGACAGGGTTTCTCTGTGTAGCTTTGCGCCTTTTCCTGAAACTCGCTTTGTAGACCAGGCTGGCCTCGAACTCACAGAGATCCTCCTGCCTCTGCTTCCCGAGTGCTGGGATTAAAGGCGTGCGCCACCACTGCCCGGCCCAATTTCTTATTGTCAAGCTACAAACTGTTACAGTCACTTGAGGAATAGCAGACACAATTATGATTCCAGAAATTCAAGTTCTAATTTTAAGGAAATTTCTCTATGTCCTCAGTAGTGTTCTAAAACTTGACAACTGTTCTTCTGAAGCAAGCACACTAACAAGCTGTGAAGTAGAAGCAAGAGGATCAGAAGTTCAAGGTTAGCCTGAGATGTATGAGATTCTGTCTCAAAAAAAAAAAAAAAAATCAAAGCCAAGTTACTCCGTGTCTCTTCTAAAAGCTCCCCATCCCTTTATATATGCTGCTGTATACATTTCTATAAGATTCTTTGGTTAGTTTGAACATAATTAATATTTATTATTTGTATTATTTTTATTGATTTACTTTGTTCTGTTTGAGACAGGGTCTCTTTTTGTAGCCCTGGCTACTCTGGAACTCACTATGTCGACCAGGCTGGCTTCAACCCACAGAGATCCACCTGCCTCTGCCTCCTGAGTGCTGAACCGTTTGAGAACATATCAGGAATCTCTTATCAAGGTCTGAGAGGTGGACCCTGAGATTTTGGAGGAGCTGCCTACTTTTCTGTGAACCATGAGCGACACCCCCACCCCGCCCCAAATACAGCCCTTACTACAAGCTCTCCAGGTAGCTGACAGTGTTTCCCACCTTCCTCTCCCTGTTTTTTGTACCCTGGAGGACAAATGGACCTGTGCTTATCTCGTCTACCTTCTACCCAGTGAGGGGGAGGGTGGCCTGGAGAGAACTGTAGCTCTGCTGCCCTCCCCCAGTCTCTCTTAGCTGACAGGCAAGCCTTGGGGAGTTTTCCTCTCTGCTTCTGTTCCTGAAGTACTATCCCCACACTAAACGCAGACTCGGAGTCTGTCTCTCTTGCTGCCCAGTGTCCAATGCCAATGGCCACTGGCCACATGTGGCTCTTATGAAACTTCAGCCATCCTTCCAGTGCTGAATGGACACATCTTGTTTGATATCTGGACTAATGAGGATGGCAGATAGTAGCCAGTTAGAGTTTATTCTGTCTATTTTGGTTGTGACGGCTTTGCTGTGAAGTACCTCGAAAGTCCATGGGCAGGAGTCCTGTTTTCCAGTTGGTAAGCCAGTCACTCATGAGAGCTGTGACCTAATAACATGGTAGCCCAGGAATGTGGGGTGGTGGGTGGTGGAACTAGTTACAAGCAAGTTACTGGAGTGTGGCCTGGGGAGATCTACCCCATTTCTAGCCCCTTTCTGTCATGTGGCAAGCAGCTTTGCTCTGCAACATGTCTCTCATCGTGGTGTTCTGCTTCACCTCAGGCCCAGGATAAAGGAGCTGGTTGGCCATGGATTGTTACTTCCCGGGCAGTGATCAAATATCACCTTTTTAACAACAGGGTCTCACTGTATAGCCCTGGGTGGCCTTGAACTCACAGAGATCCTCCTGTGTCTGCCTCCGTCTCCCAAGTGCAGGAACTATAAAGGTATGTGCTACCACATCCAGTCCTAAGTTTTCCCTTTGAAAGAAACAAAGTTGTCTTGCTGAGGTCTTTTGTTAAAATGACAAAAAAACTAAGACCATGAGAATAACAGTTTTTATGACTTCCTACCCCTGAATTCAAAGCCAGGGATTTCTGATTCAGAACCTATCACTGGGTGAATCCAGATGGCTTTGGATGTATTAGTGAGGACATGTTAACTACATACATGGCACAGAACACCCGGTTGAAACATAGTGCTTTAAGTCCTAGCGACAGCAGTGAGGATATGTTAATGACAGGCATACCAAAGAACATCTAGTTGAGACACAGAGTCTGAAGTCCCAGAGCTCTCGTTTTTCAAGACAGAGTTTCTCTGTGTAGTCCTGGTTGTCCTGTAGACCTTGAACTCAGAGATCGCCTGCCTCTACCTCCCAGTGCTGGGATTAAAGGTGTGTGCCACCACCGCTCAACGTACTAGAAGACTCTTAGCTCTAATAAAGACAATACAGTTGCAGGATACACAATCAATATAAGAAACAAGTGGCCTTTCTATGTAGATACATACACCAAAAACAAACTCTCAGATGCTATTTCACAGATCTAGGGAAAGAAATCTAAGAAGTCACATGGACTCAAGACCACAGGTAGCCAATGCAATCCTAAAGTGTAGGAACAAAACTGGAGGTATCGGCGACCCTCAGATGACACTACAGTAGTGACAAAGGCAGCCTGGGGATGACGGAAACAGACAACTGGAAGAGAACAGAACCAGAAATAAAGTGACAAAGCCGTGGTAATCCAACTTGCTGAAGAACTACTGAAGGTCAACTTTTTAGTCGAATAGTCTCACTTTGTAAAAACTTAAATACGCTGGTTCAAAGGTGAGATAACTAACTAGAAATAATTTTATTTTATCAACATGGGTGTTTTGCCTGTACATATGTCTATGCACCACATGAATGCCTGGTGCCTACAGAGGCCAGAAGAGGGCATCAGATCCTCTGGAACTGGAGTTATAGATGGTCGTGAGCTGTCACATGGGTCCTCTAGAAAAGAGGCCAGCGCTCTTAACCACTGAGCCATCTCTACAGCCCTGGAATAAAAGTTTCCAAACTCTTAAGCCACTGCATCTTCCAATAAGTTGATAGCTTAAAATTTTAATTATTTCTAGTAAGAGACCTCCCCCCCCCCCCCAACAAGAAAATGTCAAGCTAAATGGCAGTATGCATAACTGATCTCAACACCAACTTTGGGGTTCTGGTGATTAGATAATGTCTTTTTACTATTTCTTTTTACTTTATGTGCATGAGTGTTTGTTCACACATTTACATGTGCACGTTTGATGCCCACAGAGGCCAGAAGAGGGTATTGGATCTCCTGGAACAGGATTTACAGTTGTGAGCCATTGTGTATGTTCTGGGAACTAAACCTGTGTCCTTTGTAAGAGTGTCAAGTGCTCTTAACCCCTGAGTCACCTCTCCAGCCTTTTAGGTAATTTTTCATTATTGGTTCATAACTAAAGGCAAATCCAAATAATGGTGTCCTAAAACACTCACAGTGGTTACTATTATAATGAGAATGGTGTGTAGCGGGGCAGGGAGTACGGCTCAGTGGTAGTGCATGTGCTTATCATGCACAGGCCCCAGGCTTGACCTCCAACACAAAAAAGGGCAGGAGGTATACACGGTTTAGCAGGAATGCCTTCTACTGCCATTGCATTGTCCTGGGCTCAAACTAGTCCACATTCCCTGCTGTTTATAAATAGTGAATGCACACTAGACTTGGCAACAGGTTTTGAGAAATACTACTATCTGAGTTCTCTGGTTTATTAGTTGGTCTGATGTGCTGCTGGGGGCATCTGCATTCCAAGAGACAGCAGGCAAGGTTAAGAACCACTGGATTATGGCATTCACTGATCAAACAAAACCATATTTGCCACAAGAAAATTAAAAATATGTGAGGCAATACATATATCAAATATTTTGATTTTGCCATTCTATCCTGTGTACATATATAAAAACTTTTGTTGCATAGTGTAAATATATATAGTTTCTATTTTTGTCAATTAAAAAAGAGAAGCTGGTGTGGCCTTACATGGGAGTTAGAGGCAGAAGTTGGATATCATCCTCAGGTCTAACATATACTAAGTTTGAGGCCAGCCTAGACTTAAAAATATTTTTAAGACCTTGTCTTTAAAAAATAAAAATAGAAAAGAAAATGAGAAAGAAAACCACCCAAACTATCTAATAGCTGTCCCCGTGTTAGAGGAACTGGAGGAATCTAAAGCACTGCAAAAATCTAAGATGTTTGTTTTTGTGATCCTTACCACATTTCTTAGAGGTATTATTATTTATATCTGATTTTCCCCACCCACAAACTTTTGCTAAAGCTAAAAAGCACAAAATAAATCTTAATAGAAAAAAGAAAAAGCAAAAAACAAGGCAAAACATAATTTCTGAAGACCTGTGGAAATTCTAACACAGATTTTTATCTTTATTTTTTGGAATTAAACTCATTTTATTAATTCTTTGATAAACAGAGACATGGTTATACATTTTTAAAGGCACTAAAGATAACAACGATCTCCAGGGGCAAAATGATCTGTGATGAATTCACATTTCCTTCCAAGTTTTAAATACAACTTAATGTCTCATTTCTAAATAAGGTCAGTTACAAATGAGCTGTTGTACTCTTACTTGGATATTAAAAAGTGGTAGCACACAGACCAACTGTTATTTTTAAATAATTCCTGACATGGACTGGCACCTGTCTTGGCATTCTCTTTATGATAACC